CTTTCAAGAAAAGAGAATGAAAATTTAACGAAGATATTTGGATACAACAGTGCTGTGCATGATTGTTGTTTGTATGGTTTTAAAAGATGTATGCAATGGAACTTGAAGCTTTAGGGTATAATAAGGGAGATTGGGAGTGATTTAGAGCGACTCCTCGTGTAGCAGAATTCATTGGACAATAAATTTTCTTCATGTTGCTTCTTAGTGCTTAGTGGATTAATGAGTATGTGAGAATATCACACCCAACATATGTCCAAGGCCAGCTTTCATGTCTACTTCCCAATAGATGGCCAACATCTCAATTTCCATTTCACATCTCACACATCTCAATTTCCCCATCTTTTACTGTCGCATATTTTAGGACGAGTTTATAAATTAAGTCAGACAATTGTTAAAAATCATCAAGAACTTCTTTTGTTTTTCAAAAAGAAATGATTTCGATTGGAAATCTCAATGACTCATCGCTATTTATCTTTATTTGCTCGTCGTTCGTTCGTTTATTTGCTTAACGTCATTCTGCTTTCTTTTTTTTAATCGAGGGATCAAGATTATTTGTTCTCAATGTGCGAAGAGATACGGGGATGTAGAATTAAAAAAAATAACATGAAATAAAACTAAAGCATAAAGGAAGGAAATTATTCGTTGGCCCTGAAGTGCTTCGCTTTCTCAAACCTCAAGGAAAATGAACATTCTTGAGGAATAAATATAATAGAAAATTTATTGGCGTTCTTTCATTGTTTAAAACTTTAATGTTGCAATTCATGCTTGGTGTTGGTGGCCGTTGAAGCGAAGCAAATTTGAGCCAAAAGATGAAAGAATTTGGAGCAAAGAAATGGATGAAGTTATTTAACTATAAATTAATGCGACTGTCTGTTCGTTCGAGAATATTTGAAATGAATGCAAATTGGCATAAAATTACATTAAGTACATATTTGCGAGCGTTTGCTTTGTAATCGACTTGAAGATTGCTGAGCTTTCGTAGATGAAAAAAAAATGTTTTTTCATGGCCATTCATTTGATGTCAGTATTTGAGCTCGTTACGAGTTGAATTTTGTCGCCTTTGGATCATCTCATGAAGAGTAAGCAATTTAATGAGAAGGAAGCCGAGAGGGTTGACAGTTAAGTATCGTTATTCGTTTTTCTATGTTCACCCTTTTGAAAAGTTATTAGAGCATTAAACTTTTGAATTCATACACGTATGGTTAGGCAAATATGGAAACTCTATTTGTTTATCGCAATCAAAATTAATTATGTTAGGAGTTTTGCTTGTACGTACGAACCGTAGGCCATAGATTATGGCACGAGATCAATAATAAAAGAGAAATTTTAAGCGTAAACACCACGAAGCCTTGAATTTATTATTTAAATCTTTGGTGCACGTATTGGAAGACAATTCTGTGCTTTTCTTTTTCCTCATAAAATTTTCTTTCATTTATTTATCCTGAATAAAACATAATTTTCCTATATTGCAGTCTCAGATTTTCCAGCTTTCATCTAAACAACATGTTCGCATTCAGTCACTTATTGGATTTTCGCAATGCAACTGAGACAGGAAATCATTTCAATATAAATATCTTTCTCATCTTCTCTTCCTTTGCGACATTTAAAAAAAGCAGCAAAGCACGACACGAATATTCAGACAGATAAGCAGCAAGTTTTAAAAGCAAAATTAAGCTTGTTTGCTGAGATAAATAAATCAAAGAAGAGAGACAGAAAGCAAATATAAGCAAGAATGAAAATATTTTTTCATCATCATCACATTCTAATAGAAAAAGAAATCTTAACAATCATGAGAATTATCACAGTGCAATGTTGTTTATATATGTATCTTTATAAAAGACTTTCGATTCGAAGCATTAATAATAATAATAAAAAAAGAGAAAGCTTTAACAATATTTTATTTTAGATTGAATGTCCAAAACGAAAAACTTAAATTCGAATCAAATGCGGGCAAGAAACTAAACAAGGTGGGATAATCTTCAATATTTAACATTAGAAAAGATTGAAAAATTTACAAATATTTAAAGAAAACAGAAATATATGTTCGATGGCTAATGTTGTAATGACTTATTCGACAAGCATTTGTTTGTTTGTTTTGTTTGCAAAGCTTTAGCTAATTTTAACAATCTCCATATGACGTTATTATAAAAATAAGCAACATAATATTTATGTAGTTTCCATTCACCTGACAAATTATTTCCTTTTTTTTTCTTACATCTTAAATTTTTTTATTTTTTATAAATAAAAAACAAAAGGCACTTTTTACAATTATGAGCATCAAAGCGGCTTAAATGAATTTTCTTTCCCAAAAAAAAAGACAATGAAGCAACAGCAGGGCCAACAAAATCTTATCTTTATGCTTTCTTTTCATTGTGTTATGTATAAAATTGCAGGATGAATATAAATATGTATGTAAATAAGTACGTGAATTAAGAAATTAAAGAAAAAAATAAGCTTACAAATGTTACCTATTTAAGAAGGCAAAAGATCATCAATAAAAGTAAATCATGGATTGACTAAGTTAATTTTGTTTTTCATCTACTAAGTAATAAGTATTTAATGAAGCGTGTAAAACTATCACTCGACATCTAAGAGGTCTTCATTTTTTTGTAGGGATTTAACACTACAGCGCTGGCATTTCCAGTCTGTGACGTTTGTGTCGTCATTTGGGGCACTTGCATCATTGAAGCATTCAAGCTTTGAGCATTCATCGCTTGCGATTGACTATAAGCAAATGGATAAGATGAAGAAGAAGAAATATATGGTGTGGGAGTCGATGAAGCACCAGAAGTCGCCGTTAATTGTGGATTTGTCATTGAACCAGTCAAGCCCGGATAGAGCATGTTTTGTTGACTTAGAAATTGGTGTTGCGCTGCAGCAGCAGCAGCGTAATAAGGATTTGTTGCCGTTGTTAATGAAACAGGCATTTGAGGTCGAATAAATTGTTGAAATGGAGTTTGAAGTGGGCGTTGTAAGCCCGACAAGAAAGGTGAACGTGCTGCTGAAGGAGACATGGGAGTAGGGAGACGAGAACCGGAAGTGCCAGGCTGTTGTGTATACATTGCATTATTGTTAGCAGAAAGCGTCACACCCGAATAAGGCATTGCAGTTAATGGATTTTTTCCAGCCATTGAAGGATTCTGTTGGGCGACTGCAAATTTTAATGCATTTGCATAATTTTTTTGTGCCATTTCTTTGGCAATTTGTGCAGGGTCAGAATAGAGATTTTGTGTAAGAGCAAGCTGCTGATACGGTTGATTGTATAGCATGGCAGAGAGAAGTGCGGCTTGGGGATGATGGTTATTAAGCGTAGAAGAAGATGAAAGATAGTCGGACATACTGTCAACCTTGGGAGTCTTTGAACTATTGATTAAATGCTGATTTGGCGTCGTGAGACTATTTTTGCGCGATAAAATACTATTATTGTTATTTGTTATGGAACTGGTGGTATATATTGCCGAAAGACTAGCGGCAGGTGAGCTACTACTGGTTGCAGAGTTAAAGCTATTTGCATTTAAATTATTCTCATCAATTGTCGTCGACTGGATTGATGTTTGTGTGGCATCATCAATTCCATGATTGTTTTGTAAAACATTCGATAAATCGTTACCGTTTGTTGTTGCTGTTGTCGTTGTTAATGATGATGATGATGACGATGATGATGATGAAGACGATGATGCCAAAGCATCATTAATTGATTTATTACTATCATCAATAGCATCAAGAAGAATACTTGATGATGATGATGATGATGCCACAACTAAATCATCAACAACACTCGACGACATATTGTTGATTATCTTTGCATTTTGCACAATGAGAGCATTCTCAGAATCACCATCATCAGGCGATGTAGCGGCAGCAACAGCAACGGCATTTTTTGACAGCGTATGTTCGATATTATTGGATGGGGTGACCTTACTGGACGAAGATTGACTTATCGAATTTTGTTGTGCTGTAGGTGTAGTATGTGCATCAGCATCAGCGAAAAAAGTGGAATTATTAAAATTACTTGCATTATTTTCAAAATTATTATCAATATTGTTCTTATTGTTGTTATTACTACTCATGTTACAGGCATTAAAACTAGTCTGGCTGTTTAAATTAAGATGATGATGTAAATTGTTAGCGTATAAGGTTGCTGTGGATGTATTTGGATAGAAAGTGTCGGCTGAAGCATGAGTTTGATTGCTTGTATACTCACATGAAACGGGCACATAAGGTTGTTGTGACTGCAGTTGCATCAAATGTTGGTAGGCAGCAGCTGACGGTTGATACAAGGGAATGCCTTTGTTGTCTGGTGCTGGCCTTTTATAAGCCATCATTCCAGGGAAAGTCTATATGAAGATGATAAGAATGAAAAGAGATAAATAAAAAAAATTTGCTGACAATTTATGTCATTTTAAACTGAATCTATTGCCGTGCTATTAATTTCCTACTGTTATTGTATCGAATTGAACGTTTCTTTAAACTTTTTTTTCTTCTTTTTGTGTCTTAAAAGTTTTCTCTCGAAACTTTTCTTGTAATGGGAAAAAGTTCAATTCAACACAACATTCTTCTACCCTCATCTATCTTTGAAGAAAGTTTTTATTTATCTTAGTATTATTACAGTTCAGTTAAGCGAAGTAACGATAGAATCTTGCAAGTATATAGATCTTGTCATCATCTTTTATTGATTTTAAATACTCACAAAATCGTAGCATGGACCCATGAATTTCATTTGATCCATCTGACAGAGGGAAATAAATAAAAAAAAATGTCAAACATAAAACAAAAACAAACTACATAATAATATTTAACAATAAATGAAAAAAATAAGGGAAAGCGAAAGAGAATGTTGAAGAACATTCATAAGATTCATCAATGATTTGCAAAGTTCTTCTTAAAATGACTTCGACTCGTATCTACAACATTCACGTTCGTCGTTCGTTGGTTTAGTTGAGTTTGAGTTTTTATGTGTTGTCGTTTCGGGATGTAATCATCATAAAAGAATTAGTCATTTATGGTAAATTGAAATGAGTTAAGCCTAGCATAGTCTGATAAGAGAAGAAAAAAGTTGTGAGCGAAACAACATCAGGCAGCGGTTTATCGGTATCAGCTTTTTTATACGTAGTAAGAGCTGCTGTTGTATGTAGCTTATGACTAGAACATCAAAAAAAGGGATTCAGAGAGGAAAGATGATGATAAAAAAATCACATTTCAGCTTAGATAAGTATTTTCATTTAGTCAAGAGAAATTCATGAGATTTGGAAACCATTAAAGGCATGCATGGATGTGACAGAATGGAAAAATAAAAACTTTAAATTGATATCAACCAGAGATGAGTTTTGATCGTTTTTATTACAAATTACGTCAGTTTCGTTTCCAACACACATCTCTGAGATATCAATAGAAATATCTAAATGTTCTACACAATTCTCGTATGTTTGGTTTTGTATATTTCTTATTTTTTGGGAATTTTAATTAGAAACAATTTGGTTTAATTAAAGCAACGTAAAATGGAAATATCGATACTACTTGTAAGCATTCAGCTGCCCTCTTTTTCCCGCTTTCCATTAAATTGGCCAAAATCGAAGCTGAATATGAAGCGCTTGATAATGACTTTCCATTTGCTGATGACGACGTAGCAGGCAATGGTGTAGAACCGCTCTAAAGAATGTTTCACAGAGAAAATTATTACACTTCGAATCTATTTTTCATGTTTTACGATCGCGAGAGATGAATGAATTATTGTCGCTTTCTATTCATTGACAGGGAAGGAACATTTACCCTCTTCTTAATGTATTTATGTATGTCTGTCTTTAAAGCAAATCTCAACAGACATTTTAAAATAATAAAAAAAGAAAAAGTGAGAGAAAAATCATAAATTATTGCATCGAAAACGATGAACATTTCTTCTCGCAAGTCTCATTAAGTATTTTAAGAATATCACAAGAGAAAATAATAATAAAAACATAGAAATAACAACAGCAACATCAACAAAATACTTAGGTATATTTTAAGCAGCAACTAAAGATATTAATAGCTTTACCTGAACACGATCAGTTCGCTTTTGAGGTTGTGTTCCGGCATTTGTAGCAATAGACATCGTTTGTGGTAAAGGGCTGCCAGCCAATGCTGATGCCGCATGTTCTGGACCAATTGTGATTGGCAAAAGTCCGTGCCCGAAATAAGGATTATAAGGATTACTTGCGGGCAAATATCGATTGGCAGTCTAAATATTTGTTGGGAGGTAAACGAAAAAATTGCACACGTAAACAAAAATTTTATTCTTTTAGAGCATTAAAATATTTTATCGCATTCCACATTCTGTCATCGCTCTCTCTTTCTTGCTTTCTTTCACTCACTCTGTCTCTCATGTCATATTTAAGGGATGAGACGGATAAGAAATAAAAAATGAGATTTATGATTTATACAATTTGATTTATAAGTATCTACTTATGGTTACATCAAGAGAGAATGGCAAAATATAATTAAAGAATACTTGAGGGGAAGGAAGACAAGACAAGACAAGACAAAGTTCTTCAAAATGTTTTTTAAAAAGCAAAGATCGACATTGATCGACATTGATAAAAACAAAAGCAAAATAAAAGAAAGAAAAAATTGTACAATTCACTTACCATCGGCTGTAATGGGCTCGGCTGTAAAATTGTTGGTGCTGGTGTTGGTGGTGCCATTCCCATTTGTTGCATCAAAGCATTCTTTAAAGCTAAATGATTTCGCCCATTGATTAAGAGTTGATCTTTGAGATGCTGTGGCGGGTGAAAATACTTGCATGGTGGCTTTTCTCTGTTGCATCGAGCCTAAATAAAATGGAATGAAATTGAAAACGTTATGAAATGCAATTAAGGGAAGAAAACCGTTAAAATAAATTTGCATCTCATGAGAGAATATTTTTAAAGAAGAAGATGAAAATTTACTTTCGATTTCAATAAAGATGCTTAAAGATTACAGTTCACAAAGGGTCAGTATATAAGGGAACACCTGGTGAACCTGACTTAACAGTGATCTTTCTACTTCTTCTTATGTTTCCCTCCCAGACTCTGCACAAACTCAGACACGCACACAATTATCAGCATGATTCCAAATAAAAAGAAGGAAAAAATAAAAACTAACAAGCTTCACGACTCATTTTTCTTTCTTTCGTTGTGTTTTTCGCTCAATCTGAAGAAATCCGAAAAAGCCTTTCAAATTGCAAAATCGTAAACAGCAAAAAGCAATGTATTGAGTTTTAATAAAACAGTTCAAAGTATAAAAATAGAAACTGGATTTTCGAAAGAAGGAGAGAGAAGAAGAGCGCGCCGAAAGAAATAACGTGCATTATTAAACATACGGAAAAATGAAGAAGAAAAATCTCTTATGAACACGGGGATATAATGAGAAATTGGGTCACGTCACTTGTTGATTATTATAGAAACTCATTTGCAATTTCTACGACATTTAAGTGAAAAAAAATATTTTGTAACATCTTTCAACATATGTGACGTCATTAACAAACTTCCCCATTATCCCAGCATCATCGAAAAAAACAAAATCTGTGGTTGTGTGTAGAAATGAAAACGTTTTTCATGTTTCGTAACCAAACTAATGCTGATGAAGAGAAAAAAAGGAGAAACGTGAAGAAAAATAATTTCGTGAAATTTGCCAACGCCTTTGGCTTAGAACTTGGCTTACTTTAACTTTTCATAACAATCTTTCTACTTTTCTAGAAAAGAAAAACTAAAATAGTTTTGTTGTCTCAAATAACTAAACTGTAACTGTAAAGCAGCAAAATCTTTAGTCTCTTGTTTTTTTGATATAAACTGGTTTAAGAAACATTCTCGAACTTAAGATGTTGGGTTGGACATGAAAATTGTTGCAGTAATTTAAATGTTTGCTATGGAATTATAAAGAAACATTCAACCATCGATCCAAATTAAGTAAATATTCTCTTTCATGTCAGAGAAAAAGTTTATTTTCTTGAGTGCAAGACGAGAATGTTTAAAGGACCCAAACGAGACATAACTTTGTTGTCATTTGAGTCATGCTTAAACTTGAATTAAGACTCGAGAATGTTAAACATTGAAAAGAAAGAAGAAATCAACGTTCAGTAAATTTCATTCGATAAGAGTAAAAATTCTCAAAGTGTCTCAACTGATTAAACATTGTTTTACAAAATAACGGTTGACACGTGTGAAGAATTTAAAGGAATTGTTTTCCCAGTCAATATTTCCCATAAACAGTAAAAAAAAGTCGACAACAATAGAAAAAATCATAAATCTAGCAGATAGAAAGAAGTCTTGAATTAGAAAACACAATAACAAGCATAGCAATGAGAAGAAGACAACCCTAAGACGAGATTGTTGTTGTTGAGGGGTTGGGTAAGAAAATGTTTAACCTATGCGATGACGAAAGAAAAAAAAATAAGAAAAAGAGGGTCGGGCATGCGAGACATTCTGACATGGGAGCTTCGTGGAATCAGGATAATGAAAAGGTCCCGTTGAAGAAGCAAATGAGGTGCTTACTTCATTCATTTCTTAACATTTTTTTTGTTTAGAGTCAAAATGGCACACGCTGAAGCACGTGAAGGGATCAAATAGAAGAATGCCGGCCCAGATTTTGTTTTAAATTAAATTCCAATTAATGAGGCATTTCTTACCTTGATGCTGTCGTAGCAAGCTGTCACCCGACCATTTTGTACTTCCACTGTTGCTGGTGGGGGTGCAAACTTACATTCAGTATCGGGACGAGAACATTTGTTTCTCTGATACTCTCTGCACACTTCCAATTGAAGCCATCGTGAGTCTTTTCCATTTAATAAGTTCGACATGCTGACCATAGCAGCCATAACCTTGTCACACAAGAAATTGTTCTTAAACTTTCTTTCCTCTTCTTCTTAGTTTTTCAATTTGTGTAAATTATTTTAAAAACAATCAACAACAGATTCGTTTACTTTTTTAAAAGGATTATTTTAATTATTATTTATGTTGGGGTTAATTATGTGTTTAAAATTGTATAAATATTTTATTTTATATTATATTGTGTCAACTATCACATTTAGTAAAAACTATTCATCAATTTTTATGATTTAAGTCACTATGAATATTTTTTTATTTCTTTTGTGCACGAATTTATGCAAAAAAAAGCAACTAAAGAAAGTTTTAAAATTTCGTCGTATTCTGTCACTGGTGCTTCTGAATTTTTCTTTCACTTGAAATTTCTATCACAAAAATTATTATCGATGTAAAAATTAGAAGTGCAAACTTTTGCAGCTTAATTTCGTTAAATATTTTTTATATTCCTTAGAGTAGAAATCGAGAAGCGTTAAAGTTTGTGGAGAAGTTGAACAAGTTTCTAAAACTTTTTTCCATTTCTTTGAATTGTGAATATTTTTTTTCTTTCTTCTGTCTTCCTTCACTGTATTTATTATTTATATTATTAGTATTATTTTTTTAAAAACTATAACTTTTATCACTTTTTTTTCCTTCTTCGGATTTCGCTTTGAGTGTATCTGGTTTTCACTTTATTAATTTTGTTTCTTTTTTCTCTTTTTAATATGGCAAAACTATATGAAAATCTAATTCAAATCGACTAGAAGTCTCGAGGTATAATTTGCAATTCCAACGCGAAATTTTATTTTTATTTTATGTTTGAAGAAGTTGGACAATAAACTGGAAGTTTGTTCTCCTTTCTTTTTCACTTTGTGATCTTTTTTTTCTCTTTCGAAAGCCGGTTTTTATCAAAATCGCTTAATCTTCGGAAGCATGTTCTGCAAATGCAGTAAATTTTCGTTTAAATTCTTTTCCCTTTTTTCCACAAATTTCTAAATGTTCGCTTGATAAACCAAAAGAATATTTTTTTTGTGCTGTTTGTTTATGTGTCCTAGGAGTGTTGGGGATGGTGCGGTTACATCAGATGGAAGAAGATCCAAAAGATTAAGATTGAAGAAAAGTTATGGTTGCGACTAATGAAACCTACGAAGAAATGAGAATAAAATTAGATGAGATAAATAACGGCAATAATTTCATTACAATTCCACTTCTTTCAGTAAATAAATTGGATTAGGACAGTATTTTCTTTTAGATAATAAATTGAAGAATCTCAAATGAATGCAAAAAGTCATAGAATCAGAAAAGGTAGCTTTCACTTTAGCTACTAGCCAAATACTGTTAATAAAATAAACTTTTAAAATCAAAATGGATGATGATAACACGAACTCGCTAAAAGTTTTCCCCTCAATTCTTATTATTATTCTTCTTTTTTTTTGTTCCAACATTTCACAATTTTCTTGCTACCTAGACTAACATCGATGTTCATTGCGATATTTTTACACTGGACAGCTTAAAGCTTCTAATTTTCTCAGCCGAATGTGAATCATTCATTATCATTCCATCTAAACAAATTCATATAAATATTCAATGTTTTTCTCTTCTATTAGTTTAACGTTATTCAATTTAGACACTCATAAGCATAGAAGAAGTAAAAAATCTATTTCTGTATCTATGTTCCGCGACTTATATATAAAACATATCACAATAATGTAAGTTAGTGTTAGCAGCTGTTCATAAATGCTACTGATTTTGATTATTTTTTAACTCTCTTTGCCACCTCGTTTGACAGGAAAAAACGTGAAATAAAAAACAAATGGAATTTCGATTGTAAGTCAGTGGATTTTAATTCTTTGATAACCTACATATAAAAATAAATTTTTAAAAGAAATTTGATCTGAAATTTTTTTTCATGAAAGAAAACTTTTTTCCCGTAATGGAAAATTTTCCTATCCGTTGCACCATCAAAAATGCATGAATGAGTAATTTCGACACGAGGCGAGAATATTCTCGTGAATCTTTCAACTTCATCGCTCTTAACTCGGACTACCACGCACTTCTTTTCATGTTGTTGAAAATAAAAATATCTACTTATAAGTTTGAGAGTGCGAAGCCGCAGGCGAATGACAAAATTACGATTCACTTCTCCACTTCTGATAATCTTTTTTATTTAAAAAGCAAAATAACACACGAAAAAAAAGTTATATGTACGTAAGTTTCTTCTCATTCCCTGAAGCATTTCATTTGTGTTTATATTCCGAAATATCTTTTTTTTTTCTCTTCTAAATAAATGAAACTTCGATGCCGATGCCCACACAAATCTTTCTTCTTCGTATTCGTTTCGCGAGAAGTGAAGAAAAATTATTAATCGCGCGAACAGAAAACTGTTCAAGTGATGTCAGTGAATTGCGTCTTCTTCTTGACATACTACTTCTGATTTAATTTCTTGTTGTTATGCGAAGCAAACTATAATAAAAAAAATAATAATTCGCTTTTTAGCACGATACAAATTTTTGTCACTTGGCCTTTTGGCTTTTAATTTCAATATGAATTTATTAAAAACATTTTTTTGAGCTTGATATTCTATTGTTCAATTCCAAAACAGATTTGGTTGAGAACATCGAAAGAAGAAGTTCCCGTATTTGGTCATTTGCCTTGGAAACTTGAACTCTTAAAGATTCTTCTTTTCATCAATTTAAGAATCTAAAAAATATTTCATCTTAAATCAAAATGCTGCACAAAAAATAAGATTTAATGATAATTTTCTTGGGACTTTTGTAATTCTGCGTAGTCAGCAGATGGAATCGACCGACCATTTCCGTCCACTTCCACTTCCCTTCCCATCATTCATAAATTTTATATTTGATGTTGGAGTTGATGATGTCAGTGGGTATAACAAGAAAGGGATGAAGTATCATCAATCGATTTAATTTATTTTTCAATGGGCATTGAATTTAAAAGAAGATAGCACAAATAATGCGCACATGAGAGCGAGGAAAAAGGAAGTAAGAAGAAGATGATGAATTCTTCTTCTCAAACTAGATCACAAAACGCTCTGTTTGTTCAATGTCTGATATCCACTGAACCTTGAGAAATTATTTTATTTAGGAAAACGATTTTTGTTAAGACCATTCTTCGATTAAAGCGAATTTTGTTTCTTATTTTTTTCTTCATCATTCAATGTGGTTTTTTCAGTTTTATTTTCTAAAATAAAATAATTTCTTCTTCTTGTTGATTATCTTGTCTTCTTTGCGGGAGAAGAAGTGCGAGAGCGAACAAGAAACACAAGCAAAAGTTACATTAAAATTATTTAACAGCATGTTATGTCGACTGATGATTTCGATTAATTTAAGAGTTGCAAAAAAATTTATGCTATGACAATTTGACATGTTCACTAAATTTTGAATGTTGTTTCTTTTTTATCCTACCATATGGTTCATCACTTAAATTAATGTTCATAAATATTTATTCACAATGCGGAACTTTTTCTCCATTTAATTAATGGCTGAAAAATAGTTGTTTGCTTTAAAGCTAATCGAACTAATGCAAAAAGTAATAGGCCACAAATATCTTTTCCAAAAACGTTCGAAACCTCCAAAAAGTTATTGTGTCGTGTTATGTTGTGTGCAAGACAAGCTGCCACAGAGAGCGTTATTATTATTTTTATTTCTAATTTTACCATACCAGAAAAATATGTTACACATTTTTTTGTATATTTTTATTAAAGCGCGATGAATGAGTGTGAGTTTAGTTTTGTATTTTCTTCCACAATATTTCGTAAGTCTTTTTTTTTAAAGAAAAAAAATATTCAATGTAGGTAGAGCGCGGCTCTTCGCGTTTATTTTTTCATATTCATTTCGCTCATTGCCTTCGTTTTCTTATTGCTTTTAAGAAAAGAAAAATTCACACAAATATCGGGGGGATCGGGTCGTGTCATTCTCCGAAAAATAAAAAAAAGAATATCAACTGATGTTTTCACGATTTTATCGATTTTTCCCCTCAAGTGGAGTGGGAAGAAGAGAACGCAAAAAAAAACCTTTTGCTTGTTATCAGTAAAAATGATAAATTAAATCATAAATAGAATTTTTTTCATGATATCGTTTTGACTTGGTTTTCTTTCTTTTCATGTCGTTTCATCAAAAAATATTTAATCCTTTAATGCAAGCCAAAAGTTAATTAACTTTCAACAACGAGATTTACACAGTTGGTTGTTGCCTTGAGTTGAATAAAACAACAGACACGTATCGAGAATTCTTTTTCTTTCTTCACTTTTTTCCTTATTTTTCTTTTTTTTTTGGAAGAATAAATAAGTTATCGATCGCTATTCTTTTTTCTGCATATAAATTTTTTCGATAAAAACTTTTCTTGTCACTTTATCGCGCACAAGTTTTTTTTATATTTTCACATATTGACATATTTTAAAACAATTCTTTTAATGATTCTTCTCCATGACGACATGCAAATGAATTAAAAATTAGATCAAATATCATGCGGAATGAGAAATAAAGACGACACGGAGAAAACTTACATGAGCTAGAACACTTAACAACTGAAGTCAAATACTGTATAAGAGAATACATACAAGCTGAGTTTGTTCAATGCGATGATTCAATTTCTAATTTTCGAAAGAAATTTTTTTCGAACATCATAAAGGTTTCGCAATTATGAATGGAACTTTTATGACTGGAATTCAAATGAAACATTTATTTACGTAGAGTTGCAACATAAACTTGAATTTGTTTCTTTTTATTTATTTCGAGTAAATATTGTCAAACTATGTAATGTGTCGTTTAAAAACGATGATATTAATCATAATAGATTCCATAAACAACAGCAACGACGAAAAATTTCGTGTTTTCATGTACATAGAAAGCCATTCCATCAGATTCGGCATCCCATATAAATGCTGCTGTTTGACCACAAGATTGATTACGATTTTCGCATATTGTAACGTTTGATATAATTCGATAGCGATCATAACGTTTTGCTTTGACACGATTTAAGATTTCAGTGCTTAAATTAAGACACAATGAAATTATTGAATTTTGATCAAACTTTGAAATTTTGTTAGTTTCCACATAAAAATCGACAATTTCTTTCAATAAATCTTTAACAATGCAAGGGTTGAAAGGATTTTCAGACTCCAATTGATAAGTGGGAAGATATCTTAATGTTGGTCGAGTGTAAGTTGAACGTCTTGATTTATTTAATGAGATCGAATCAAACATTCTTGTTATGCGCTTCTCTTTTTTGTTTTCTCCTCCAGATGATATTGATGAACGAGCTGAATTTCTTTCATCATTTCCCTTAATTGTATTTCTAGCGAAAGCCAAAGTTCTTCTTGGTTCGCTTTTTGGCTGTTCATTTGTTTCATTCAGTGTTTGGTCCATGATTATTTATTTGCAAGGTTATTTAATAAGGTTTTATTTCTACCTTAAGAAAGGGAACAAAATGCCTGAAAAGTTTCTTTGCTTACTGCATCCATCAATTTCTATAAATTTTAACGTATATTTGATTTTCAAATTGTAACGTCACAATTTTCTATTAACTTCGCCTTACCTAACATTTGTTTACACATTTCAGTATCAAACCTTTAGGTTCAATTTATTTTCAATCACAAATAAATTAAAGCTTTAAGATAAAACAACCATTTCTAAAATGTTATCTTTAGTAAATTACGGTGGATCGAGTGGAAGTGAAGATGAAATATCAGATGAAGAGGAAATTGTTGGAAATAGAGTCGAAACAAATTCTATTCAAAAACCTACAATAAATCTTCCAAAACCGACCACAACAAGAGCAGCCACAGTAATTGAAGAAGATGATGAGTTTCTACATAAGAAAGAGATTCCTTCAGTAGCTCCACCTAAACGAGAAAAGATTAAAATTACAATTCCTCGTTTAGTTAAAGAGATTGATGACGACGAAAATGTTAAAAAAGTGAAAAACTTTCCAGCAAACAAAAAAGCTGGTTTGTTGCATATGCTGCCAATTCCATCTTACAGTTTTGCTCCAGTACCAAAGCCATCATATTCAGTTTCAAAACCATCTGAAAAAAATGTACCCTCATCTGGAGAAAGTAATCAGGAAATTCCTAAAAAAGTTGGTCTCATTCCTTACTCGCTAATGTCGCACAAACCTCAAGAAAAAAGAAAATCTTCAAAGAAAAAAGATCACGATTCTGATGATGATGACGATGAAAGTGAACATACCGGATCATTCTTCACATTCGATGATGCAGATAAAGATCTTCCTCACGTTAACGATGAAGAAGTTCAAGCTTTGGTGGAAAAAGAAGCTGCAAGAATGGAGAATCGTAAACGAGCAATTGTAGATGAAAGTTCAAGAAATGACTTTGAAAGTGGACAAGGAATGTCTGAAGATTATCAAATGCAACAAAATATTGACGAAGATGCAATGAAAGCATTGCTGGGTGGAAACAAAGCAAAAAGATCAAAACTAGATGACATTCAAATCATTGACTTGTCAGCATCTGAAGTTTTACCAAATCGAGATGAGTGGCTTCGCAAAACATTAGCTGGTGAAACAAGTTACATGCCCACGGGAAAAATTCAAGAGAAGGTAGTTAAATTAAACTTTTTTTTCTCTCTCGAAACTATTTAATCCTACATTTCAATCTTTTTTTAGGGACCGTCAGTACTTGCGAAACGTAAACACCAGATTTCATATTTATCGATGCGTGCTGAAACCAACGAAGCCGAACTGGAAGCAATGTGGGCCGCCAATAGGCAAACAAAACGAGAATCCAAAAGCAAATACGGATTCTAAGTTAAACATAATTACAATTTTACTTTTTTTAAGAAAACTGTCAATAAAGTTGGAAGAGATTCTTTTGTCTTTCGTAATTGATTATTAGTTGCTTCATCGATCACAATTCATTAGCTTTCAGTTAGTAGCAGTCATTTACATACAGAGAAAAAGAAATAAGAAGGAAAGAAAAATCCATTAAAAATGAACAAAAATAAGTTTCATCCTAACACACAAAATGCTAAAAATAATCTCCATCAGTCCACAATAAAAAGTATGAAAAAAAGAGTTTTTCTCAGGCGAGCTCAGAAAAAAAATGCAATGAGTTTTCTATTCAAGATTTGAACAACTTTTTAGCTTTCACTCGTTGAAATGAAAATTATGATGATGAGAATTAAATGATGTTTTAATGACATTTATGTCATTGAATTAAAAATTTAAATATATCTAATTAGTTTGATTTTCAAAAGAAAAAGAATAAAAAATTATCTGTGACGTTGCAAAGAAAAATATTTCAATAAGCGGGAAAGTATTTTGATGAGATCATCGTCAAAACGCCAACAGAACTTTTCTCACGAATAAAACACCAAAGATCGACATGAATGTTTGTTATGTCAAACGACCGTTCGATTGCACAATCTCCATGGATGTTGTTGAGGTTGAAAAAGAAAAATCTTCGACCGTGCGAAGAAAAATTCGTGAGAATCAGAAAAATCCATGTTTGGAAAACAAAACAAGATGTGTAGAGATGATGAATAAGAAGAAGATTGCAAATCTCCCGAAGAAAATTGTGAGATGAGAAACGACGACCACAGCCACAAAAGCGTAACTTCGTGTGTTGTTATGCTAAGTGAAGCATGGAGATGTTCTTCATCGTGTCACGACAACGACACGATCAAATACAGCAACAGGCTGGGTTTGAAAAATGGAAACCGTTTCTATTCTATTTTGGTCAGTGTTTACAATTTTTCTATCATAGTGGAGTGCGGAGAGAGGAAAACACGTGTGGATTCGTGAAGTCAACAGTAGAAACAAGAACTTTAAATGTGATTGTATGTGATGAAACGGTTTATGTCCATCCGAATGCCGATCACCAACTCTCACGATCACATTTCACAGAAAAAAAGAAAAAAAATTCAACAGCTTTTTACCCGAAATGAAGAACATTTGTGTGAAAAACTCCAACGCTCGAAACTAGGATTCCTATAAATTCGAGTGTTTCAGACGAGAGCTGTTTAGTTAAAGTGCACCGATCGTTTTGGAGTTTTCAAATCCAAGTTTCCTTTGGGCCACCTTTTTGTTTCTCGTGAAGGTTGGTGATTCATATTTAATTATTTTTATTATCGTAAATTAAATTCACAACGAAAAGGAATAAATTCACATCTAAGAATTGAAATCAATAGCCGAGAATTTAATTTAATTCAATTAAATGTTTTGTGAAGAAATTAAAACGAAAGAAAAATTAATTTGTGAGAAATTTAAATCGAAAGAAATGAAAATTAGAAAAAGCAACGAAAGAAAAGCAAAAATAAGAAAATTAAATTGAAAATTAAATGAATTAAAGTGAAAATGAATGATAAAATTAAAGAAAATTTTTTCTTTCTTCCTAATTCAGTAAAGCAAAGCTAAAAACCATCCAAAAATGTGTGACGATGATGTTGCTGCTTTAGTCGTTGACAACGGCTCAGGAATGTGCAAGGCTGGTTTCGCTGGAGATGATGCTCCACGTGCCGTCTTCCCCTCAATTGTCGGTCGCCCACGTCATCAGGGTGTCATGGTCGGTATGGGACAAAAAGACTCATATGTCGGTGATGAAGCCCAAAGCAAACGTGGTATCCTCACTTTGAAATACCCAATTGAACACGGTATCATTACCAACTGGGATGATATGGAAAAAATCTGGCATCACACCTTCTACAATGAATTGCGTGTCGCCCCAGAAGAGCACCCAGTTCTCTTGACCGAAGCCCCATTGAACCCAAAAGCCAACAGAGAGAAGATGACTCAAATCATGTTTGAAACCTTCAACTCACCAGCCATGTAAGTTAAGAAAAAAAAAAGATGAAAACGAGAAAATGAAAAATAGAAAAGCAGCGGGTGGAAAGAAAATCGTCTGCCTTTATATGGAAGCGATTGATTTCCGTTTGTAATGATCTCATGAAATTAATTGTGTTCTGTGTTTATCAAACAGGTATGTTGCCATCCAAGCTGTTCTCTCCTTGTACGCTTCCGGTCGTACCACCGGTATCGTCTTGGATTCAGGTGATGGTGTCTCACACACAGTCCCAATCTATGAAGGTTATGCCCTTCCCCATGCCATCCTCCGTTTGGATTTGGCTGGTCGTGATTTGACCGACTACTTGATGAAAATCTTGACCGAACGTGGTTACTCATTCGTCACAACAGCTGAACGTGAAATCGTTCGTGACATCAAGGAAAAGTTGTGCTATGTTGCTTTGGACTTCGAACAAGAAATGGCCACCGCTGCCGCATCCACCTCACTCGAAAAGTCATATGAATTGCCTGATGGACAAGTTATCACCATCGGTAATGAACGTTTCCGTTGCCCAGAATCACTCTTCCAACCATCATTCTTGGGTATGGAATCATGCGGTATCCACGAAACCGTCTACAACTCAATCATGAAGTGCGACGTTGATATCCGTAAGGACTTGTATGCCAACAATGTCTTGTCAGGTGGTACCACAATGTACCCAGGTATTGCTGATCGTATGCAAAAGGAAATGACCGCCCTCGCTCCATCAACCATCAAAATCAAGATCATTGCACCACCAGAGCGTAAATACTCCGTCTGGATCGGAGGATCAATCTTGGCTTCCCTCTCTACCTTCCAACAAATGTGGATCTCCAAGGAAGAATATGACGAATCCGGTCCCGGAATCGTTCACCGCAAGTGCTTCTAAATCAATACAATTTTATTACCGTTTCTGCACACCCACAACATCATCACTTTCTTCTGTTTCTTCTTTCTCTTGCGCAATTATTGTTTTGTTAGAAAAAAAATCTTTTGTTAGTTTTCTTTTTTTATCATTCGAATTAAATTCGTATTTTTATTGTTAAGACTGTTTTATCATTTATTCGTTTTTATTAATTAAAAAAGAAAAAGGAAAATCTTGTTGAAAAATGTGACCAACTGTCTTATCATTAACGAATAAGAAACAGCCTTGAGCTGATGCCATTGTTCGCCTTTTATGGCCAGCAAACGATCAGGCGCCGAGGAAAATGCCCACCTGCAAAACAGACGATTTTCATAATAACAAAACCAACACATTCGACGGGAGAAAGAAAAAGAAAGAAAGAAAAATACAAAAACAAAAATAAAAACTTTTTTCAATAAAAAAAGAACGAAGGAAAAGTCATTGAAAACAATACAAAAAAAATGATTTTCTTTGGCGAAATCTAAAAATATCTAAAGGAAAATTATTAATCTTGCTCTGAATTTTAAAAACTCACTTCGCATGTTTTTCTTTCTTTCACGGTTTCGTGTGAGTTGCGCAATATTTGTGAAGAGGATGAAAATGTTTTAACTGCGTGGGTGGGATTATTATTAGTTCAAAAATTCATTTGTAACTTTGACTCTCTTCAATTCTTTTTATTCGTGAAAAACGGTGGAAATTCAAACGTTTATGATTAAACGAATTTTTTTTTCACTACTTGAGTATGTAACTTGAGAAATTTTTCTTTTTTTCCAACATTGCGTGAGTTCTTCGTTCCAAAAATATCATCGAGATTTTCCATATGTTTTGAATCATAACACGAGCGATCGTGGCCAATAAATGAAAAAATTATTTTCTCTCTTCTTCGCATTCAAAACACCAACTTTTGCTCCAGATTTTGTTTCCTATCTGATTATTTTTGATCTCATGGTTTCAAATTGAGTTGGTTTATTTTTGAGACTCGCCACGTTAATCTTCAAGATCGCTTCCGTACAATTTTCTTTTTTTGGAGATTTATTCACTGACATAGATACACACTCAACCGTCATAAAAATCTAGGAATAAAATTTCGTCTGATAAAGTGGGAGGTTGTAAGTTATCTTCATGTCAAGTTTATTTTCGTGTTTTTAATTTTTCAGAAGAATGTTGGAATAAAAGAATGACAAAAAATTATTCATTGATAAAAGGCGGAAGTTGAATTATTAGCTGATCTAGAAATTCTATTGTAGAATCGAAAGTTCATCAGCATGATCTTCGTGAAAAATGTTACAAGTTAATGTTGCTAATTAATTTTCCTTTTTTTATTCACTATTTTGCTTATGTATGCAAATTCATTCAACATCAGATTTGTTTAATATAAAAGTTATTCATGCTTTCATTGTTTTAGGTACTATTTATATGAAGATATGCTTTTCAATTGAATATTCGCATTAATGTTATTCACATAGTGCGCACAGTGCGGCTTATGCATGCGAATTCGAATGTAAACAAAGTTTCATCTAACGTGAAACACTTACACATATAAACATAATAAAGAGCGACTTGAACGGAGAAAGAAAACGCGGAAATTTCTTTCTTCTCAGCTTTTAAAGTGAAGGATATAAAGGAAATTATTGAAAAATAATAAATCAACAACAGAATTAAGCATAAATATTTAATTTATTTGATACAAATGTTCCTTACTTAAAATTATATTAGATAATATATTTTATCATAAAAAAAGAATTGTTAAAATTAAGAAAAAGCCAGAAAAGAAAAATAAATAAAAAATTTAAGTTTTCGTTGACCTGTGTGATCTAAGTTGAGCTTTTGAAACTTTAATATTTGATAAAAAATTACAACTAAGGAGTGTTTTCAAAAAAATTCAATATAGATAAATTATGAGTAACTTAAACCAACATATTGCAAAAGAATGATCACCATATGAACCTGTTTTCGAAGGATGATCTTTCTGTTTCTAATCTCAAATAAAAAGCGACAACGTCATCATTATCGTGGCCGTTTTTTTCTTTGAGCTTGAACTTGATTGACGACTTTTGATACTAAAACCAAAAAATGACCAAGGGAAATATTAAACTGGTTAAGATGATCATGAAAGTTAGTTGACAATGCCAAGGAATTTCATTGAAAACCTGATAATAAAAGCTTCGAAAGCCCATTTTATTGATCCAAATTACTTTACCTATAATAATAAAATTTATTTAGAGTCTAGCTGGCGAATCCTTTTTCTTCAAATAATTTGTAATGAAAAAATGACTGAAGAGAATTGTCAGCATGCAAAGGTTGGCAATTTGAAGATGGAAGAATATTCCTGAAGCGTAACAAGTTGGCAGAATGGCAATAATACAATGACCCATAATCAAAACAAACTGAACTAATTGCATGATTGTAATGATTGGTTTGACGAAGCTTAGGCATTCACGTGTTCCCTTATATGAGCTTAAGAAGTAATAGCCGTACATGATGACATGAATGAACGAGTTGATTGAAGCGTTGTAGAGTGCCATCAATTCTGAAAACAGATTCGTCAAGTTTAGCGAGTTGTGAAGGTTAATTTCGTGGAATATTTAATTTCTCACCTGTGTCGTATGTTAAGTAAACCCACATCAAAATTACAGTTGAAACATGATGATAAACGTGCAAGAACGACGCTTGATTTTCCTTTTTCCGAAGGATGAAGAAAACTGTTTCAATAAACTCGAACATACGTAAGAAAAGGAAGAACCAAGTTCCAATAACAATCTCGTTCAATGCACTTTCACTTAGCCATGAAAAATCTTCGCATCTCCAAAGGAATCGAAAGTCAAAGCCAAGTTGATATGAACGAACAACCAAAACCAAGCAAGCGCCCATTTGGAAGATGTTATAGCCACGAATGAAGTTCTTGAGCTTATAAGGGCGTTTAGATTTCATCATTTTAGGTCCATAAATATAAATAAACCACATGTAAACAGCAAATATGACAATGAGAAGAAAAGCTGTCGAGAAAAGCACTGGAAGATTGAGTGTAGCTGAAAAGAAAATTTGTTAAATCTTTTATTAAAGTTCTATCCATTCAAAATATTTTTTTGTTTAACGTCATGGTTTGCGAATAAACATTTTGCTAATCATCTTATTGATTCTCATCCTGTTAACCTTGGGATGATTTAAACTTTTCGAAAACAATTTGAATTACTTACATCCCTGTGCAACTTCGAGAGTTGTCGTCGAATTCTCGGAAAATGTTTCCGATATGTTAGCCATTTTGGAAAATTTGAACTTAAAAAAGGAAAACTAGTAAATAAATTAATTTGCACTGTTGAAAGCTTGCTTCTTCGGTGAAATGCTAAAAGATACTGAATGGATTTAAAATATATTTAGAGTCACGTTTTGAAAAATCATTCGATTCAAAGACAAGAATTAAGTTTTGGGGTTTCTTGCTCCACTGAAACTTGACTTCATCCTCATGTTGGTGAATTCAATAATATAAAATAAAAGAATTAATTTAAATTTGGAAACCCTAACTCTGTTTATCAAACCTGCTGGACGATCAGACGATCATTTGCATACTCATCTTGAATTTTTCGATCTTCTTCAACATTGAATTTTTATCAAACGAATTCACGGCACGTTGATAAATTTCAATGACACTCACAATACTTTCAAGCTAAACTTTAACTTTTCTGTAACATTCTAATGTTGAGAAAGAAGAAAATTGAAGATGTCGAGCAAAATCTTATTTTACTTTATGCAAAGTCATGACAAAGTTTTGCGTCATCACGGATGTGATGAAAACAAATTTCCCAATTCATGTTAAATTTGTTTATTTGTTCAAAGAAATATTATTAGGACAGTCCTAAACATTTATTGCACTGAATTAAAGTTGAATAATCCTGCTAATTGTCTTTTGTTTCACAATTCATATTAAGGAAATAAACATAAAAATTTTATAAATTTTCTAGCCAGCCTATGCGAAACATTGAAAGTGAAAATCTCAAACTGAAGCAGATTTTTTCCTCCAACCTTTTACTAACAAGTTTTATGGGATCTGAAATATATTAAACAGGTTCTCAAAAATTGATACTCATTGTGGTTTATCGTCAGCAGATGTTATTCTACTGTTAGTGAAATGGATAATCATTTTAGAATTTATCGTAATTTATTTGCATATATAAAAAAAGGTTTGTGTTTCAATATTTCCTGAACTTAGATAACTAAACTGATGACGTCATAAATTATGATTGTGCTAACTGATATGAACATCGATCTTCTTTCTTGCTTCTGCAATAACTTTGAATGAAGAAATGACCAAACAGGAATGTTAAAACAATGAAATTGATGATCTGAAGATGGAAGAAGTAACCAGCATTACAATCAGGCAGAACTGCGACGATGCAATGGGCTATAATGATTCCAAACTGAACTAATTGCATGATCGTAATAAAAGGTTTCACTTTCAAACAAATAACTTCAAGTTTTCCATTTTTAAATGAAGTCAAGAAGTAATAAGTGTACATGACCATGTGGACCATTGAATTGATGATAGCGATGTAGACTGCCATAAGTTCTAAGAAAAATGAGAAGATTACTAATAGTTAATTTATTCAAAGAGTTCGTTTGCCAAACCTGCATTTGATATTATAAAAAGCCATGTCATAGCCACAGATCCAATGTGATGAAAGATATGAAGGAAGGAAGCTTGATTTTGTTTTTTACGTAACACGAAGAAAACAGTTTCAAGGAATTCAATTGTTCGTAGCACCAGGAAAAGCCAATAGCCAATTATAACTTCAATCCTCACCAAGTCACTGAAGTTTTCGAATTTCTCACACTTAAAAATATATTTCAAAGAGAATCCTAATTGCTGTGCTCTTGTCACGTAAACTGTGCAAGCAAACACTTGAAATAAATTGTAAAGACGAATTAAATGAATGACGTTGTAAGGTTCGCGATTTTTCATCCATGCGGGCCCAGCAACGAGCACAAACCAAAGGTACACGCCACAGATGACCACCAGAAATATTGACGCAACGAGATGGAAATATGTGTCGTAAATTTCAACTAGAATTAAATAATTATTAATCTTCTCTTTCATATATTTAATTTGAGTTCATTTACTTGCACTTTCTATTAACGTTGCATTATAAAGATCCATTTTTATATCTCAAATTATAATCTAAACTTTTTTATTAATAAATTATTGTAACTTATGTCAACATCTGTCAACTGAATCGAATGGAGTCAAGCAGAACACTAACAAATAAGAATTTTTTATTGGATGGTATGAAATCTCCCAAAAATATTTTGTGGAAAGGAAAACCAGTTAAATTGAGACTAAAAAAAGGTGATGTCGATAAACTGTTCCGATCTAAGTCCGTGATGGGAATGAATCTTCACTGCCATAGCTTGCTTAAAACACTGGTTTCTGACGACAGCGAAATTTGGTAGTTTTAAAGCTTTGAAAAGGTAGGTCTAGGTTTCAAATATCTAACTTGAGACTTCCTGCGAGAATTAACAATATAAAATGGCAAGTCATTTCATCAATATTTTGTGATAAATATGAAATATTTGTCAAAAGCGTGTAAATGTTTTAAATTGTATTCAACTTTTGAAGCAAAAATGTCATAGATATCTTAGCATGTCTGTAAACATTTCCAAAAGCAATATTTGTCAACCCCGTTAAAAGATAAAATTGTTTATTTTCCAAATAGTTTTTATCTTAAAAGTTAAAATTAAATAAAATACAAGTTTTCAATTTACTATCTTTTGTTTCTTTTCGACAGTTTCATTGTGAACAATTTTTTATAGAAGTTCATGACATTGTTTTAATGGCAGATGATTTAAAATTTCAAAGAAGTAACTAATGAATCGGAAGGAAAAGAATTTTGCAAGCTTTTCTTTAATCACATGACGTCATAAATAAAATTATGTAAAGAAGATGACATGATTTTTGACAGCTGATTCATCAAGTTAATATATTCCGCGTTAAAGTTAAAATTAACATAAAATCATTAAGAATTCCTGTTTTACGTTTTTAAACTTTAAAATCAACGCATGTGAGTAAAGCAATCGAAGAGAAATCAAAGGAAAAGACAAATTAATGAGTGGGGAATTTTTTTAAGGGGAAACTCGTCTTCGAAAAGCATTCAAAACCTCGAAAGCTTTAGTTGATTTGAGTCTCGGTGAGTTTCGGCTCGTGAATCATTGTCGCAAAGAAAAACAAGTAATAAAAGTTCTTAAATATCATTGAAATGTCTTGTGCTAAGTTTCATAGTTAAATTGCTAAGCTTTTTAAGCTCCAATTACAATTAGTGAATGAAATAATTTTATCTCTTGTGATTATTTTAGACAATAAAGTTTTCTGATTCAGAAATAGGAAATAAATTTGCATATCCATAGTGTGTGATACTTGTATACGTATATAGTGTGTTTGACGAGACAGCCAACAAATAAAAAATTCATTCAACCTCCATAGTGTTAAAACGCTTTCTCTTAAACATTTTTCTTCTAGTTTTTTGACTTTGTATTGCTTGTAGTTTTTTTTTCTTTCGAACTCACTTCTCTCTCCTTCACTTCTCTCATGATCGGCTTTCGCTTTTTATTCGATTATGCAATTGCAATGAGAAAATGATATATATTGGAATATTAAAATCATTAATTACCTTTAAACGTGAGTAAGATTTCTGTCTACTCATGAGTTACTTTACTTTTGTTCACCTTTAAAACGTTCAAGGTTGTGGGATGTGAAATAATTACTCGCTTTAAAATACTTAAGTTTAATCAAGGCTGACAATTTAAATTAATCTTAAAGATAATAAAAAATATCTTTGAGATAATTTGCTAGGAAGTTTATCAGAAAGATTTCATGCATAATTTACATATCTGAGATTGCATATTGAGAATCAATGTTAAGTACAAGTACAAAATGTCTAAATGAAGCATTTATGTGTCACTTTGTGAACTTATTTTTATGTAATTTAATATTTATCACCACATTACTGCAGCAAGAACCATTCAGAAAAGTCAGATTTGGGGTAATCAACCTTTTTCAACATAAAAATATTGTTGACAAAGTAAAACCTATAAGTAATATTAAATGTTGAATCAAGTTGTTTAGCGAGTTTTTATTGCACTCGTTCTCAGACTCGAATCATATAAAAATCGAATAAATATTAACACAAAGTCGATTTGGTCAAAACTTCTGAAAACTTCCGATTTTGTAAGCTATCAAGATTAAGCTTTTTATTCAGTAATTACCGAATAAATGTCTTATTTGCTACGGATCTCAAATAAATAAAACCAGGAAGTTGGTGAGACTTCTCCTGAGATTTGAAGCTGTTTTCGAGTTGATGGACGTCATCCAATGTTAAAAATTATTATTTCAAATTGAAAAATTGCGAACATATGTAAATACGCGAGTTGTTTTGCTTGATAAGGTCGAACATAAGTTAATATAAAATATTTAATTCAGTTTTGATCTAGAAATACCTTTTAGGAATCCGGTTCTTATGAGTGAATAGGCATTGAGTTGAAACTTCCAAATCAATTGAACTTTAAACCTCTTTTAATCTTATTTGTTTACATTAAGAACTTTTTTGAGAAAATTCTTTAGAAATGTTTGATTAATTTAGATTTCCAGTTTTATCGTTAAAAGCCGAACAATTCTTTTATTTATTTTTCAATAAAAAATCAACGGATGATGTTGAATTGAATAATTAGCAGTTAAAATTTATTTTATGCAAATAATTCACGCTGCTAATTTCTTTACAACCAATTAAATTATCTCAAATGCTTCTGAATTTATTTGAACATTAATCCCAATAGAACCCACAACAATTTGATTAAATACAATTCAGATAACTAGTCTCATTGAATGAAAGCAAAAATCTATTATTATTAACAGCATTTCATTATTTATTCATATGAAATTTTCGTAATTGAATAGAAATAGAAATTCAAAGGTTTTAACTTGACTGTTGAAGGTGATGAATGATAATTTGTCATGTTAAGTACTAATCATTAATTTTTTTTTAAAAAAAGATCACAAATAAATGTTTTTTTAAACTACAAGGCGTCTCAAAGATTAAAATGTTTCTATTCATAAAAATAACCGCAAGACCTCAAACTCAGAGATCAAAGTTTGATGAGTTGCATGCAAAGAGATGTTAAATTGTAATTGAACTACATTCACGTACAATAAATAAATAAACTTGACTTTTAATCTTTTACAAGATGTTGTAACATCAATTATCGCTCAAATGCTAATTGAACAAAAATTGAAGACCTTTCACCCATATGAACAACATCTTGATACAATTTTTTTACAATTACTCTATAAAATCAAAATTCGTATGAATAAAAATAACTCCTTGACATGATTCAAGCTTCATTAAAGTTTGATAGAAGTTTGCTAAAAATTTAAAACTTCAAGCACACAACAACATGCGGTGGTTGGTTTTTGCAATTGAAAATAACCTGTTTAGATATTCAAGTTAATTTTACTTTTATTATTACCAGTACGAAGTGTATGAACGTCATTGGATTTCAACACGAAATTTGTGTCTTTAGTCACTGACAATTTACAAAATTTTCTTAAGCTTATTTTTAATGTTAAAAGTTTTAAAAACAAATTAGTAACAAGACGTGATTTCCAACCATCCCTCAATAAAAATAAAAGTTTCTGAAGTAATTTGTCTGCAACATATTGATGGAGAGAAAAAAAATTGCCATTTATTTATTGATTGTCATGTGAAGAGAAAAAAAGTTTAATTAAATAAAATATCTAAGTAAAAACAGCTGACCTAATTGCACAAACTTTGAGAGTACTTAAGCTCGGTTGTATTAAAAATAATTTCAATCGGCAGTGTCCAAAATCTGAGTTTTTCTCAAACGTCTATTCAGACGCTAAAGAAGGTTTCATATCTCCATTACCGACTGAATCTGACTTAAACTCACTTTGTAGTTATGTTTATTGCTGCCCCGCCACTTAAAAGCACCAAGACATTCAACACTTTAAGGTGAAGAAATTGCTAACGTTCCACGCTTTTTCTCTTCTCTCATGCCTCAACCTCAGCAGCACTTTTGCTTCGACTGTTGGGTAGGTTGGGAGCACCTCATAACTTTATCAGAGAAAAAGTTTTTTTCATTATTTATTCAGAACGAGTTAACGAAAAAGCTCTTTGTTTTGTGAGCATAGCAAACGTGCAATTGCATAAGTGAATTAAACGCCACATTTTATCGCGAATTAATTTAATTTTCATTTTCATTCCACTTCAGAAGGAAAACTTCAGCAACGAGAGAGTTAAAGAAAAATAATAAGAAATGAATGGATTAAGTTGGAACACTGTCGCGATTATTTTAATCGTTTGTCAAATGTCAACAGCCGCTCCAAATGGCGTGCGAGTTAAGAGAGACGATGAAGTGTCTTTGGACCCAACAAATTTAGTAAGTAGAATCATAAAGATGACAGTTGATGATGGCACCAAATTCAGGTTTTACTGCCATTGACTTCCACATACTCATCGTTTTGAATATTGTGAAACAAAATGTCGAAATAGTTATTAAAGCGTAGTGAAAAAATGTCCATCTTTACATTAATGTTTTTAGAGTGCTGTGAAGTATTTTTATGTTATTATGTAAATATCAAATCACATGTTGAATAATTTTGTTTGTTTCATGGAGAGTTGATTTCTATCATTTAGTAAATGATAAGATTTTTGCGATGGTTAACATAATTATGTTGTAGCATGACATCGATTGACAAAGAGCCCAAAAATCATTTCATTCATGCAGAAAGAAAATAAATTTCCAAACAACTTCAGATGAGTGAAAGTAAAATTTAGACACAATTGAGATTTGCATTGAATCGAAAGAAGAAAGTTAATTTATGATTCTGTCGTCATATTCTATGACATGACATGAAGATTAAGTAACCGGTCACGATCAAAGAATAATAAAAGTCTTCAAAGTCGATTGACTCAAAGATATCATTATTCATTATTCACACGAATTTATATTTCGTAAAACAAGAATAATCGTCGACCACAATTGAGACAACATTGCAATTCATTGCATTGAATGTCGCTCGAAATCCATTAATTTTCTCTCACGCTTCCAACTAAACGATGAGACGATACATCAATTTGTATCGTTGGTCTTAATTTAATCGGTCGTCTCATGCGCTAAAATATTTATTTTCGCTCACATCAAGGCTTACGCTATTGAAATTATGTCGTCAGCAAATGGAGCTGAAAAAAAAACTCAACTGCTGCATTACAAGGCAAATTATTCGCATTGCTTTTAAACACAACTTTGAACGACATTAAATATTGCCAAACAATATCTTCAGATGCTTTAAACCTGCGGCGATGTTTTCATTAACTGCCGGATAATTTTTAGAAATCCATAAAATTTATTTCCAATTACCTTCCTGACCTTAACTTTTTTTGCTTTTTGTTGAAGATTTCTTGTCATAATTTTTCTGTTTCATCAATCTCAAGAAAGATCATTAAAACTCAGAATTAACGACATTTATTAAACTTTTATAATTTATTTACACAAAAAGCCTTTCATCAGTATTTTAATTATTTTTCCAATAAAAAGTCATGGCATGTAAAATAAAATTATTTTCGATTTTCTGTCTGATTACTAAACAATTCACACTGGCAATCAAAAGTAGTTAACATTAATTAAAAACATGTTTTGTGCCACCTTTTTTTCTGAATAGGATACAACGAATGCTGAAAATGACCGAGAAAAACGAAAACTTCCAGAAGCTGCATTTCAATCTAAGAATGCTGTGTTAGGATTCGTCTTTGGTGTAAGTTTCCTTCTTGATTTCAGCCATAAATCACATGATTGAGTAATTTCATATTCATGCATGCAAAAATCGGTATTTTGAGCTTAAATTCCATCAACATGATTAACACTCGAATCATAAATCTTTGTATAAAAACTTATGATGAAATCTGTTGTAGAAAATTGATCAATTGATCGATGGATCAACGAGATTTATTGATCAATTGGACAGAAGCAACGTTGAGAAAAACAAACAATTGGGAATTGTGCAACCGCAGCCTATTCCAAGCTTCCAAGCACTCATCTCTGGTGTCATATCACCAAAAATTTCAGCAATTACACAAAAGTTCGGATCATTGAGCGGCAGTTTCCTCGGTGGATCTTCAGGGTCATCAAGTGGGTTTTCGGGTGGTGCACAAGCTTCAGCATCTGCCGATGATGGAACTGGTGGAAGTTCAGCCGGGGCAGGAGGCTTAAGTGGAATTCTTTCATCAGTTCTTAGACTTTCCGGTCCAATTCTTTCTGCATCCATTGGCGGTGGAGCTAGTCTTAGTGGCGGTGGCGGTTCTGTGGACTCAACAACAGAAGGATTCGACGATGATTTCTAAAATCTTTAAACTATCTTGGGATTAACATTACTAAATCGACTCGCTTCTTTTACTTTTCTTATCATTTATTTTCATCAGCAAAAATATTTAGAGAATGATTTCGTCTTACAATTGCAATTTTCATTACTTTTTGCTTTTTTAACATTTTCAAATAAGATTTTGTTTTGTTTTTTTATATCAAAAAATGCCCAAGGCTGTGATTACACGTCGCAAACAGTAATTGGAAATAAATTGTTTGTAAGACGATAAGGAAATTGTGGAAGCAGATGAATGAATAGAAGAGAAATTTTTCTTAACTCCATTAAATCGATTCAGAATTTTTATTTTCAGAATGTTTTAGAATTTAAAATGGTTGGAAATATTTCTCTTCATATTCATGAGGAAGTTTGATTGAAACGGAAATAATGTTCGAGATATGTTTGGATTTCTAATTTCACAAAAAGAGAAGCTTCATGTTCATTTTGAAGGTTGTTTTCGTTATATTTTTATTCTCTCATTGTCTTTACTATTTCACTTCACTTTTTCCTTACCTTGAAATTATTTTTCACTATTTATCAACCTATCAACTTTAAATTTATTTACCTAACATCAACAATTCTCAAATCAAAATGTCATACTCTTCTTCAAGCTTTACATTTACTGTCACATTTTACTGCTTATTTACATTTTATAATTTGGCAACATTAATTGTTTCATATTTTTCTTGTAAATAATTTAAAATGATGTCATGATAGAAACTACCAAAATAAAAGCAGAGAAAGAATTTAATATTTATAATTTGAAATGGCAATAAAATTGATTTTTTAAAATAAAAAAGAATGAAGAAAATTATGTTGTTTTTATGTTTGAAGTGTTTTGAACTTTTGATTGCTTCTATTGATGAATAGAAGTTAAAGAGGCATTTAACGCTTGGTCCGGTTGTTGCATTGTTTGTGTTGTATAAGCATTATTTTTATTGGATACATTCCAATTCATTAAGCTAATGAAAACGTCTTTTTTTTTCACATCGAAAAGTGATGTTAATGGTGATGGATTATTTTCAATTAAGTTTTAAGAGAGTTTAATAATTTTCATCAATTTATTTTTATTTTCACAGACATCGTCAGCCTCTGCACATGTTGTTGGTACAGCATCTCGAGGCTCAATTAATGCAATTTCACCAACTAAACCACCAATTAAAACTACCACCGACGATACACCAGATTTTGACCGAACACGAGTGAGCTTCAATAGAAAACAAATTTATTTATTCCGATCATATCTACTTGAATATTTTGTGATTACAGGTCTCGCTTGAAATACCAGATAAACTTTTCGGAAGCTCGTTCACTACAGTGACGAATCTTTCCAAAATCATTGGAGATTTAATGACTGTAAGATATGAAGATGAATTTTCAATATTTACGTTTTATAATCTCAAGAAATCCGTTAAATTAATTTTTGAATTTTCAAAAGCTCTGAGGAGCTTTTTCGAAATTCGAAAGTTTCGAGTTTATTTTTCTTGTCCCCATGCATTTTAATTATAGAAGGGAAATTCCTACTTCATAAACTCACATTTGTTTTTGTTTTAATTTAATACACAGAGTACATCAAGACGAACAGCTCAATTCTTATGGGTATTCAAACCATTATTCGGAAATGCTTTAAAGATTGAAATTCCAGAACCAACAACTGAATCGCAAATTGATATTTAAGCCAGCAAAAGTACCTCATGGAAGAAAAGCAGTTAAATGTTTTAACTTATTATGAAAAAGATGTCAATTAAGTTTTAATTTCTTTATCAATAAAAGGTTCATATTTATTTAATTTGACATTGAAAGAAAAATGGTTTTATTCACTGGGACTTTAACAATTCGATTCATTTAAAGATATTTCCATTTTTAAAATGAATCGAGCAATTTGTCATGATCGTGTCTCAGTTTATAACATCAACTGATGTTTCTTTCATCTGAGATGTTTTTCTACCATCAATCATCATTCAATCATGTCCTTGGGTTTGCCATTCTTTTACAGGTGCTACGTTTGCTATTTTTTTTTTATTATGGAAATATAATTTATAACTTAATCAAGCGTTTTAAGATGAAAACAACCTTAATATGAGACATTCACCATCATTTGATTGATTATAAATAATGAGTTGACATTTTTTTTACAACTACACTACAAATTTTACATTACGCACTTCTCAACACTTCGATTAAGCAAAAAAAGCAACGGATATGTATTTATGTCATCTCATGTCATCATTCATTTATATCTCTCAGCTCTCTTGTACATTTCAAGGTCAACACTGTCGTTTAATACGTGAATGAGTTTTTAACATTTACTTCGATGCGATTTTATCGTAATTAAACTTACGTTAAGTCTTGCGATGTTACATGTTTCTTGAAGAAAAAGGAGATTTTAAGTGTGAGCTCTTGAAAGCGCCAAGACCTCAATTGATTCATCATGAATTGTAGTATTTATTAAAGAATCGTGAAAGGCAATGAAATGAGGAAAATTTTAACGCAGCATCCCACAAAAGTCGAACATATCATTTCTTCATTAAAAAAAATTTAAATCTTATTTAAGTTTCACACGACTGAAGACTTACGTTTGCTATTTTTCATAATTTTTTTGCAATCTTGTCAGTCAAATTGGCCACCAGTTCAAATAACGTTCGCTAAACGTTAGATAATTGAGCATCAGTGATTTGCAAAAATATTAATCAAATGAGCAAACATCAGTCGGTGATGCCAATTTAATATCAAATCATTTTTGTACTTATTGACCACTTTGAAGATAAAAGGGAGAGAATGGAATAACATTTTTGTTTAACTATGTTACATATTTGCATCCATCAATGAACAATGAATAAGTGAACTTTTATTTTGCGGAGTCATTGACTGTAAGTATTAAAGCTACTTAAGAAGAATTTTTTCCATCACTGAACAATCGTCTTTGGTGTTCGTTCATTCACTTGATAGTTTAGTATATCGATTTACTTAACAAATGAGAGAAAAGAAATGTGACACATTAGAAATACGAATAATCATTTAACAATTATTTGAAAGTCCATTCATGCTGTGCGATGAAAAGAAATGTTTCGATTACATAAATCATTGCAATGGCAAATGAAATTATGGCAAGCAATGAAGCTAGAAAGCATAAAACAAGAAGTTGGAATCTGGGTCAGTGATTAATTTGAATATTTGAATATTTTCTGGGGGTAACCATAACGAAACTTTATTTAACTTATCGATGATAATTCTGAGAATTTTAATGACACAATTCCTTCTAAATAATCATAAACTTTAATGTTGCAATACATAAATATATGTTACTCAATACATTACACTGAAGCATATTTTTTTCCCAATTGTGGAAAGTTAATTAAACGTTTACAACGAAGACAAAAACACTAAAAATATTTTCCAATCAACTTCAGGCCATATTCATGCCAATTAATCACATTTTGCTGGATCAAATTACGATATGTCTCAAACAAAAATTTTTGTTTCCAACTTTAAAACTATGTTTTGTCCATTGAAAGCAATTTAATTTAAGGTTTCTCTATTCACGATGCTATTAAAAATCTCTGACAAGATTAATTTACACTCTTGTTGCCACCAAAGGGTTCATTATATGAAAAAACAAATTGGTAATGCGTTGATTTTGGTATTGAGCTCCGTCGGAAGCCTTTTGGTGTAGATTTCACACAGCAAATGTTTTTTTGGCTCGAGGCATTATAATTTTATTTGAAATTGAGTCGATGAGAAACTAAATGAGAGATTCATTGAAGATATGTAAATGTCAAGAGAAGGCTCCACTAAAGCTGTTATTAAATACTTAACATTGTTGAAGCTAAGCGGTTGCTGTCATAAACGTGACCTCGGTGATTTGATTAAGATAATTCCATGATCAAAGTAAAAGAAATTGAAATTATTATGTTTAACCATAAATAACAAAAGGTCATTAAAATTTAATCTTTGATTAACATTTCCATGCAATGCATTGTTGACAGGAACTGACAGATTAGTTCAGATATCAATTTATTAGTCTTCTATTTGTTATCATCTCATGAAAACAATTAAATTTAGCCAAAATATTGGGAAATGAAATGAAGTTGATTAGATGTCAGTTTAAACCAGAAAAGAAATCTTATCGAATAAAAAAGCATTTTGATATGATAATAATTCATATTTAAACGTTGTGATGAAAGAAAAAAGTTCGAGAAAAGTTTCAACAAGCGATTACTTCCAAAATGCATTTTATTCGTGAAGTTTTAATTCTATTTTTGTTCCTCAAATTTAGTTTGTGTTTTACGATTGAAAACAAGTTGACGTACTTGAAATCTCTTCCTGGAAATGAAGATCGACCATCGAGGATTGTTTATGGCGGTTTAGCGTCACCGAATCAATTTCCATATTTTGGACATTACGTGATTCAAAGACCTTCAGGTTGGATATTTTGTGGCAGGAGTAACTAAGTAGGCCTCACCCAGAATCCAAGTCCAGTAACACAGTTACGCTTTATTGTCGGTTACCTTTTTTTTGGATCAAATGACAAAGAAAATATGCCGATCTTTAGAAATGCCATTACTGTCATAATCCATCCAAGTTTTCAAAATCCAAATCCAGTGGCAAACGACATTTCACTTTCAAGACTTATTTCACCAGTACCTTTGTCAATAGCTGTCAATGTCATTCAACTACCATCTCGTTCCGATTCAACACGATCTTTTGCTGGACATCTTTTGACAGCTAGTGGATTTGGATGGAATTTATATGAATATCCACGATATCTTCATTTTACCCATTTGGTAGGAATTTCAGATGCAACATGTGCACATCATCATTGGGTATTCTTAAACACAATGATTTGTGCTGTTGGTGCTAATCATGCTAGCAGCACTTGTGGTGGAGATTCAGGTGAAAGTCTTAATTAAAAGCAAAAGAAGTTTTTAAGTCTTAAACATGCTATTAAATATAGGCGGACCTTTAGTATCAACAAGCGGTGGAATTGACACTCTCATAGGAGTATCAACTTTTACTCAAACACTTCAATGTGTCAATGATGTTCAAGGATTCATGCGAGTTGACAAATATTTAGATTGGATCAGTTTCTATACCGGAATTGTGATTAGAAATTAAAATTAAGTTACAGTTCTAAATTTAGATGAAAAATTGAGGAATTTCTGAAGTGCAATCACGAGTTGGAGCGTCAATGCTCAATTGACTTCTGAATTTAAGCACCTGATACCTTAATATGTTACTTATCTGAGCCCCTTGCATTGATAACATTTTTTATTTTGGAAATTTTTATTGTTATCACGAAAACGTGAATGCTTGCGATTTATTTTGAGATTTAAGCTCGATAAATTGAACTTTAAAGCCACTCGTAAGAAACAATCTTAATTTTTTATTTTGATTTAAAGAGTTTTATACTTCTGATAATTTATGGATACTTGAGTTGATAATTTGGAATTTTTCTTCAATGTGACGTTTTGAATTCAGCATTTCAGTATTTACGACATTAATAAATTACTTGACAACATCCATTGTCGTGAAAAACTTTGTGAAATTTAGTTAATTAAAAAAGTTTACTTTCTGTTGTCTTTTCAATTTTATATCAAAATTTCCCAAAATTATTAATCGCATACTGTTTTTTAATCTAATTAAGACAAGACCTAATTATAAAACCGTTTAGACGTTCACTCAAATTCACAGCTGATAGATTAAGTAATATTTGAAATATTTTTTGTTTCTCTTCGCTTCTCTTCTTACTCACAAATATATTTTAGCTTTTTGTATTGTGTTGAGTTGAAAATATATTCAGTAGATAATATTTAAGTTAAGATAACCCAGCAAGAAATGTGTTTGCTTTATACAACTTGGTAAGTATTTTAATTTACACCAAACAGCAGAAAGCTTCTTTCTGGGAGCGACTGGCCTCGCGGGGATTTGTTTTTCGATAACCGATTGCTGATTTAAAAGTTTTGCAAGGTTTCGGGATACAATTCGCTACATTTATTTATATTTTATAAGTCTAGAAGTTGCTTTTCATTACTTCACAACGACGTCGCGACATGTTTTCTTAGCAAACAAGTCATGTTTTAACATTTTCGTGAGCACAACCACAATACTTGAAACTTTAGGAAAAAAAATGTTTCGTTGTAGAGATAGAGAGAGAAGAGACTTGACTTGTAGTCTTTTTTTTCCTTTCATTTTGCTCTATGAGAATACTCAGTTATGGCTAGTAATTGTTCGATATCTGAATCGAATGAAGGCGATCGCGTAGCGCGGACAATAAAAAAATATTAAAAAAAACTTGAAGGATATTTTAGAATGTAAAGTGACGGTGAATTGTGTGCGTAGTCTTCAGTCGATCGTCAAGAATGACACATCGTTTAAACAAAGAATTAAATAAATACTTTTTGCTATTTAAAAATTAAATCAACATAGTTCGTGTTTACGAATAAAACTTGAAAACTGCAAAAAAAAAAATTAATTGAAATTCTCATTTGAAAGGTAAATAAAAGTGCTGTGCAAAAAATCGATAGTGATTAAATGAATTTCAGTATAAAAAACATAACAATGAACTCGTGTGTAGCAATTAAATGTATCATTGAATACGCGAGTTTTTGTTGAATAATTTCAGATTTCCATTAAAACTCAAGAAATCGAGAAAAAGTGTCGTAAATGTATGAAATTCAAGTTTTATTGATACGATTTTCAGTGGTCCATAAACTAGTGCAAACTGTAACATTTCTTTACATCTCGTTTATAATCCGCATCGTGCATAAAAGCTCCAAAATCTTGCGCAAAAAAAAGCTCAAGCCGTTCGCAGTGTTATGAATTTTTTTCCAATCTTAATGAGTCTACGAGCGGTGCAGTAACAAATTATGTCACAGAAAAATGAATAAAATTTTAATTGTAATGTGGATGAACTAAGTTGCAAGTCGCTATTGCACTCATTACTCATACTGCAATTGATTGAAACGAAAGCTAAAGCTAGAAAATTTTCCGGTTTGATTTTACTGCAATATTTGTTTGTGCAGAAATATAATGTCGAAACATTTCATGTTATAAAACACCACACGTTGTCGCGTCGATTGTGAAAAAAAAGTTTTCGAGTGACAAATCGTAAAACATTAATTTTTTGCAAAAATGGAAGAAGATATAAAACCGATGACCATCATAGCAAAGGGCACGTTTTGAGACACAGACAGCAGCTTTGGGTTAATTAATTATCATAAAACAGTGAAAGTTTAACTGCGTTTACGTCTTCGAGGTCAGCGATTGTGAAAATCACTTAATTCACAAAGAAAATTTATTTAGTTATGTTGTTAAATATTTAAACAGTTTACTCTCCAACACGGAATGAGTTGTGTATCAGGAAAAAACTGATGCTTTTTGAAAATTGACAAGTGCCGGTCATAAACCGGCATTATCAAGTGAAAATAATCGTCAATTATGTTGGCGTAAAATCATAAACAAAGCAACCATAAATTCAATTTATTATCCCAACATTTCATGCTCGTTTTGATGTCTTATATCGTAGAAGACTTTAAGATTATAAATTAATGATGCAACGAAGTTGATGAATTTCTATCATGGGAAAATTTAAAATCTATTAAATTGCTTGTGAATGAGAGTGGGACAAGTTAAGTGGCTAATAAAATCAATTTCCTTTCTATTTTAATTCTCTGACCTCACTTGTTTTCGTGTGTTTTCAATCGCATGTCATGATTACATCACAGATTTGATTAAAGATCAATTTACGAAAACGCAATCATCGACGGCTTCATTGTTTCTCGAGTTCGTGTCCTATCAATTCATTGAAATCTTTTTATTTCATGTTGAATTATTTTAGCGTATCAACAGCAACCTTGTAACTTGTTGCTTATTTAATTTTTTCTTCTGTTGATCAAAGAAAACATTTACACTCTACTGACCAGCTTCAGCGTCCACCACAACATGAATAGTGACAATTGTGAAATATCAGCATGCGACTGCTTAAAACTAAATCAATATTTACAATGAAATTGTTTCCACTTCTTTTATTATTTTATGAAACAGTGACATTCATTCCACATCCAATAGCGGAAAAATATCTTCTACAATTAAAAATTTCCACTTGAATCATCTTTCCTGACCTTCAATCCATCGTTCACTCTTTTTATTGAAAATTTTCACCACATCGTAACGATCGTTGTTTTCATAATTTTATTTGGCTTTGAGTGAAATTATTGTTAACTTATTTATTGCTCAAGGTCTTTCAGCTTCAATAATTTCCGTTTATGAAACTTGAGATTATTTTGTTCATTTTTAAATATTTCAAAGCGCAGCACAAGCTGTTGAACTTCTTAATGGAGATTTTTTCCCTTGCTTACGAATATTTGTCGTTCAATTGTTTCATTATGAAAACCTTGTATAGATGAGAAGATCATTTCGAATTCCCTTTTGTGTAGTCTTTAAAGCGAACAAAAATCTCACTCCAATTGTAAACAAAGTTATGATTTAATTGAAACAAATCTTCATTTTCAGCCGGGATCTCACGCGAAACAAATGAGAAGATTATAAATTTTTAGTCGTAAATTTAATTTTTTTTGTATCTCTTAAGTTTAAGTTTCCGTATTTATTATGAATTCATTTTTTTTAAAGCCTGTTTTTTCTTCTTTGCCTTATTTGATGATTCTTATGGCAATTAGATACAAGGTTGTGAAATGATCTTTAAGAAGACCTTAAGATTTGTTTAAATAAACTCATCAATACGTGAGTTGACTTGTTAATTGGCATGCGATATGAATATCCATAAGCTTTTATTTATCTTAAGCAAGTCATTAACATCAACATAAATCTCTCATAAATCTGAAAGAGTGCAGAGTAAAAACTAGTAAAGAAGGTTTATGACGCTATTGAAAGCTAAAATAAATTTTTTATGTAAGTGCAATCATGAAATTGATATGTCTCTGCTATGATAAATAAACCTTCCTTATTTGAAGGCTCTTCATACACTTGTGTCATCATTTCTTTTTATTTCACTGTTGCAGTCATTCAAGGTACAATATACGAATACAAAAAGAGTTGAAAGTTCAGACAAAATTGAAAGAAATGATCTCGTGTATTTTTTCGCATGATCAATATGCGTCTGTCAAGTCGGCAGCTGAAATCTTTCAACTTCTCTTCGTGATCTCAACACTAAAATCTATTAATAACCTCACAATGAGTCATAATCAATCATAAATCTTGAATCTACAACTTTTTCCAGCAGCATATTTGGTGAAAAAGTAATTTAAATATCATTTATGATTTGTATGATTATCATTTCAAACGACTCAAAGTGAAATTACATAACACCACTTGACCGTGATACGAATGAAAACGAAAATAAAAGAAAAAAATACGAGAAATGTGTGGAATTTCGATATAAAGTGAACGAACGAACAAACGAAAGAGAAATGGAAAGAAAAATACGTCGAAATGATTACACCAACAGTTGTTCATTTCACTTTCAGCTCAATAAACTTGTTGAGCTGAATAAAGAACACGTTAAGTGTGCTAATAATTACTTTAAATGAAATTAAATATTTAGGTCATGAACCACTTTCCGCTCAGATTATGGGACGAAAAGCTGACAAAAATGAAACATAATCAAAGCTTTTCGTTACCGCATTTCTATGTGTAGCAAATCGTTCGAATTTTAATTGATTTATAAATTTTTGTTCGCATGTTTGCGCGGCTTTTTTTTTTGTGATTTCACGGTTTACATTTAAAGACCACATTAATTTGATATTTTGTTCGATCAAAACGTGTTTGTTATCTGATGAATGCTAAACAGTTTATGCGTTCATTATATTTAAAATGATGATGATTGATTCGTTCAACTTAAACGAAAAGGAAGAAGAAAGAAAGAAAGAAAGAAAGAAAGAAAGAAAGAAATCATACATAATATCAATGATTATATCTTAATAGTGAATAAAATGACAATTAGTGGAACACACAAATATCTTAATCATTTCCTAAACTCATTAACAGATTGAAGCACATAAATTGTGACAAAGCCCTTAAGAATTGACTACTCGTCGACGATTAACTTACATCATAAAACATTAAAAAGTGTAACGAAAACATTAACAGCAAAGCGATGTTAAGCAAATGGATTTTCTTACTGTTCGCGACGGTTGTTATGTCAGAGCTGAGTGGAGATGTTGAGATAAGAAGTGGACATCATGTAAGTTATGATTGAGGTTGATTTGTTGATTTATTTACGTTTCTTTACTTACTTTGAAGCTTGTACGTAGCGATCAGCACACAAGACAGACCCGAGCAGCCTTGAAACCGCTTGGGTTCTTTGGAAAAATTGCTTACATGGGGGGACTTTTATTTCAAGTAAGAAGATAAAATTATAGATTGATATTGTATTGTGAATTTTTAATTAAAATGTTTTTTTATGTTCAAAGCAATACAACGAAACGACGAATGCTTTTGGACGAATCAGGGACATTTTGCAAGATCAATTCTCTGATACAGCAACCAAGGGAGTGAGTTTAATTATATTAACATTAATATAAAGTGAATAATGAAATAAAACTACTTTATATTCAGCCTGTTGTCGAGCAATCAACCTCAGAACCTGACGAAACGACGACGGAGAAGTATCGAATTTCACGTGCAGAATTCGGAAAGATTGTAAATAGGAATTTACGTGGGCTACAAAAGTTGATGAGAATTGAGCTCGCGGATGCTAAAAATGTATGCAAACTCTTATTTAACACAATCTCAGATGATCTCTTAACCTTTTCTTTCCACCCACTACTACATATTTTAGCAATCGCGGTATACTAAACAGGAATATCTAAAGCAACTCTATGATCAACTTAAGCCAAAAGGTGGGATTCACGCGAAACAACTTAATTTGACAGTCACGAATAAGCTTTAAGTGGACTTTTGAGATATTCCACATCACTAAGTTAAGATGAATATCATTTATCTGTGATAGTATTTTAAGCATATATTTATTGCGTATTTTTAATTGTAAGTGTAGGTGTAATGTGGGAAAATGTTTAATTTCAACACGGGTTAAACTGCAGATGATGGAAAACTTTCAATGATTTTGTAAATATTTTCATAAATTAAGAAATCGATAAATTTGACTTTTTTATGTTATAAGGGAGGGGATTTGTAAAAAGTAGAATTAGGCAAATTCATAAGCTCCAAGACGATCTGTGAATTTTCAACGTGTGTCAAAAAGCTGCCCATAAAGAAACATTTAAATTGATAATTAAGATAATAAAAAATTTAATAAGCAAATATTGAATAAAATTTAAAAGAGTGGTAAATGTACATTGATTATGTAAACATAAATAATAAACATACATGTAGAAAATTAAGAAGTTTGTTAGAATTTTCTGACTATGGAATGAAGCTTAAAATTGCAGCTTTGTTCAAAAACAGCATTTGTTCAAAGTTTATGCACAAAAAAGTTTTTTATTTCTATCAGATGGCGCTACTGAAGTTTCAAAATTTTAAAACACGTTAATTTCCTGTCAGGAGTTTTTAGTCGGAGTCTCCGAAAAGAAAACTAAAAATTATATTTTTTCTCATCAGAAAATAAATGGTTGTAATTTATGAAAGTAACTTCGAAAGAATTGTATTTTGTGTAATGATAAATTTTAGCGTCTTAAATCATCATCGTTACAATTCTCAAATTTGATATGAATTATAACAAAAAAATCATAATGCATCATAAGTATACTCATGCAAAAGCATTTTCTTACATTCATGCAAATATTCAGGAATTTATCGAATATTTTCTCACATTGCATTAATATGCAGAAACAGTTTGTACATATAACAAAAAGTGAATTCTTCCTCACTTCATTCTTCATTCTTCTCCTGACATTTGACACGAGAAGAATTTTCTTTGTTTCTTCGTCGCTTGCTATTTTCTTCCTACACATATCGTTAGACAAGTGACTCACAAAATAAAGCAGACGGATGAGGAACAGTAAAAATGTGAGATTTATGATCAACATTAAACATAATCAAATAAAAAATATGATAATAAATGTATGAACATTTTTACCTGGATGATTATACATTTCTTACTTTTCCATTTTATTTTATTTTTCGCAGTGCAAATTATTTTTCACGTCTAACTCTTATTGCGCTTATCAAAACAACAAAATGCGATTTCATACAGCCGTATGTAGTTTCATCTCTTTAATTTTTAATATGACTTTAGATTTCACGATTTCACATAAGAATAATGAAAGAAAAAGGAAAAATGCAAAGAAGCGAGAAATTTGTTTTTCTCTGAGATTTACAACAACACGAATGAAAAATGGTGCAACTTGGGAGCATCTTGCTACATGCAGAGAACATCAGGGTTCTGTTAAGGTTTGTGAATAAACTTTCCACCATCGGCTGCTCTTTTAAATCCGTAAAAGTCTTGAAAAATAGAAAAAAAGGAAATTCTTTGAATGATAAACATGGAAGTGAAAAGGTGAAAAGAAAAATTATGAAGTACACAAAATAAGAAAGATTTTTATTTATATAAATTTTTCCTCGACATGCTCATAATTCCATGGAGTTATTTGATTAAAAATTTTCGGGGTCGCTGATTTATTATACAACACTCAGCAAGACGTCATCAAATTGTAAGCATCATTCCGTTACTCCTTTTCTTCCCCATCTTATTTATATTGCCTTACATACTTGTTTGCCTCCAAGATTTTTCTTTACATTCGTCTTCAATGTGTTTTTATGTCGTTGACATTATAAACTTTCACATATGGTTCAAGTCATTAGTTTCATCAGCACAAATTGAGTTGTGAGAAACTTTCGTCAACATAAATGTTTACTTAGGAATCAAATAAAAAGAAATAACAAAAATAGCAGTAAATGTTTGAATAACTTTCCAAACAGCAATTATAAATCTCCGTTACTTCTAACTGTAAGAAAATTAGTTTAAAAATACCCCCAATGTAGATTTAATTGAATGAAATTGGCAAGAATTTTAATCCCTGATTTCATATCTTGATCACGTGATTCGAAACAATTAAATTAAATTCTTACAAAAGTTCGCAATCCTTGTTAAACTGTTAAATACATTGGAGAATTTTCTCAATGCTTCGGTTTCATTCTAAAAGCAATAAATATTGTCTTAATTGACGATAGAGAAACATCTTATCGACAATGTCATCTACTTGAATTGGTGTCAATTTATTGGAGAAAATTTCATGAACAATCGGAAGTGAAAGCTAATAAGTTCTCAATTAATTGCTTCAGTTCTCAAGTGTAGAATCGATAAGTAAAAGCAATCGTCTTAATAATGATGAAGATCCATTGATACATGAGAAAGAGAGAAAATAACTTTTTGAATAGCTTTGATTAGGAAAGCATAATTAGAAGCAAACTTGGATGAATGGAAAGTTTGTGAAGTGGATGACTAGGTTAAAGGATGAAACTTTTCTCATCTTTTTTGGATCATCGGAAGCTTTTCTCGTGTCATATCAAACTTCTCAGCTGATCATTCAATTTTATTAATTGTTATTAAAGAATTTATCGATATTTTCCACTTCACTTTTACTATTTAAGAGTTCTTGAATGTTTTTCTTAAAATGATCGTGTTTCTTCATTAAAACTTTTTCTCCCCTCATTCGTTTACTTTAAAACTTACAAACGAAGCTTAGTTCCGTTTATTTATCTACGTATGTAAGACAAAGAACTCTCCTTTGAAATAAGTACACATATGTATGATCATTTCTCTTAAATTAGATTCAGTCTGAGGAATAAGAAAGATAAAATAAAGGCAGGGCATGTTAGTTAAAGAAGTAAACTTGTAATTTCATAAGACTTCAGACATTGGAGGGAAAGATATTTCACATGTGTGCTGTATCGGTAACTTCTCTTGTGTTTTTTTTTTGCTTCTCCTTTTATTCTTTCATCGGTATCATTATGAACAATTCGCAAGAAAAGAAAGAAAACTTTTCTTCTCTTTCAACATCTTTCCTGAATTAATGAATCAAGGAGATATTTATTTCCATTTTCAGCACGCATTTGGCATCTAAAAGCAGCAAAAAGTTGTTTATAGTTTCAACAGTCTGGTCAGCAAACAAATTAATTAAATGGTTCAGCAAATAACTCTACAAAAAAAAATGAGAAGGAGAACTTAAGAATCGAGATTGTAAATGAAAATCGCCTTGAAAAGAAAGCAGTTTTCATGAGAGAGCAATTAATTTTCAGTCAGTAAATATTGTGTAACGTCGACCACCAGATGGGGATGTAGAAAAGGAGAAAAATGTTTATCTCTGTTCAGGCACGTAATAATCTCCAGTTAATAACTTTTCCCTCAACGAAACAACTTCTATCCCTCGTGGGTCACATAAACCATTGACATTGAGCCTTCAGTTGTGACCAGTTAAATGAACAACTTACAACAGCATCTCTTCCTATATTCTAGTTTGCTCCCACTACATAATGACATCAATTATGCCGAAAACCAGAGTGAAAGTTAATTGAACGTCATCATGCGAAACATGATTTCATAAAAGAAAAATTCAGGAAGAGAAAAAAAGGGAAAATTGCCATATTAATTATGAAAAATTGGAGTTGAATACATGCAAAAGAAATCTATGAAACTTTTCCTTCAAACACCAAACTTTATCTATTGAGGGAAGAATTTTGACTCTTTGTTCTTCCCTTGAATGCAAAAAATATCAAAAGATTCTCACCACCCTCGTATTTACACCATCGATACATGTATCATGGTAATTTTATTTTGTTTTTCATCTTTCCTGATGCGGAGAAGGTCTTTGGTCATTCACCGTGCGAAATGGATCGAAGAAAGCCGTTTTGATGGGGATGGGAAAAGTTAGTTAAGGATCATGAAGCATATTCTTTGAATAAAAATGAATAAAAGTTTATTGCCTAGAAGTTTATCCAATATCATCTTCAGAATATGTGTGTGTATGTGTATGTGCAAATAATCTTCCATCGCTTCATTCACCTTCATCCTTCTCTTAACAACATAGAAAAGTTTTTTTAGCAAATTTTTTTCCGTTCGATTTTTTTTTCTTCTCTTTTACAGCTTTGGACGTGATACTAATTTTTTATTAATCTCTCCGGAATTTAATTCTTCTCCATTCAAGCTTTCCGTAGGTTGTGGATAGAACACGGTGTATTTATATTTGGATTATGTTTCTCTAAGTTGAACAATCTTAAAAGGTTTTTTAAGAGAAAATATAACTTTAAAGGAAAAAACTGCATTAGTAAAGTATTAACAAGTTTTCAGTTCAACGCGAAACTTTATGAATTTATTTAGAAAAAGAATTAGATAGCCGAGGGAAAAAGGTTGCTTTAATGATGTTAACACTTAACATAAGTTTTGATAATTATGTTAATATATTTTAAGTTTATTTTTAATCTTGACTTCATTGCAGAGTGTAAGAATTAAATGACTTCATCAGATTTCATTAAATCCCATTCACGATCATAACAAGTGCATTCCACGTTTTTCTATGTTATGGAAGCTAATTAGATTTCATAATTCAATGAGTTCATGTTGAAATCAACACTCAAAGTAGCAAAAATAAAAGTTTTCGCCTTTTCCTTCCATGCTTCTTTATTCTCGACACTTCGCTATTATATTAACTCATTTTTAAATACATCACGTCTTTGATTTATTATTGATTATAAATCAGATTGGAATAAATTTTCCTTTTCCTATGTTCTGCTGAGATGGTGGTTGCTAAAGAATTTTCTCACTGCCGTCTTACTCCAGACATTTAATTTTTCAAAATGTTCTCTATCGGTTGTTTCAGGTTGAACAGTAAGCTCAAGAAGATAAGAATGAATGAAAGAATTAAAACCTTCAAGTGAGAATAGTTTGAAGCACCAAAAGTGAAGGGGATTTAAGCTTAAAACTTTAAGAAGATTGTCTTTAATTAGAAATTGTGCAATTTAAGAAAGAATGGACTTTAACTACGCAAGCTACGAAGAAAATTCTCGTGCTTGCAGGTTCAAAGTGTTGGAAATTAGTTGAAAACTTTGCGAGCTTTTTTATAAATTATTTCATCTAAACACATAATTAAAGCGCTAAATTTGATTCATCGACGTTTGATGAATTAATTAAGAAAATCAAAACTTACATGTTTACCATCTCTTGCCGGACAAATACAGAAAGCAATTAAGTCTAATTGAGTCATTTGCAAGCATCTCAAAACTGAAACTAAAGTAGCCGAAGCACTCAGAAAAGTTTTCGCCCAGAACTTTCTTAAGTACAATTTTTTTCTCCCTTTCCTTTCTCAAGTTATCGTCATTTGCCGTGAAGTTTTTTTTTCTTTTCTCACAACTTAGAAAGAGGATGGAAAAATATAAAAAGAAACACTCTTCAATAATTTTCCATTTATATTTTTCTAACGAAACGTGAAAGTTTTTCATCCTATTTTTGTCTCCTCTTCGAACTTCTACTCGAAGAAATAAACATCAAATCTTCATCCTCTCTCAATTCCAAACAAGCGACAACGAAGCGAACATTGATAAAACTTCTCTGAACAAACTGAAATGAATTTTATTATAAAAATTAATTTATTTATGATATTGTTGTGCACATTTCTCGAAGTTGTTAATGGAAAATCATTCTCTTGTCCGAGACATCAGTCAACAGATGCGAGTTTTCATAGTGTGGTTGAAATGAGTGACATATTTGGCCGATTCATCATACGAAGATTCACAACATGCTCGAACAACATGAGGTGCTCAAATAGCTTGACGATGTTGATTTGTTATTATCGAATAAAATATATAAAAGTGCCATTCTTCTATTGAATAAATGATAACTAATACTCGGTCGATTACTTCAGCAAAAGATTTGTTGATTTCGCATCAGGATAGAAAGAAAATTTTTCTACTTTCTTTTAGTTGTCTTTAACATTCTTAACATTCCAAAACCACGTCTTGTAGAACTCGTTTAAACTTTTTATTTTCTTCTTTCTCATTCACCTATTAATTCCTCGATTAGCAATCACTAAACATTGTTGAACCCTCCCCAGTTCACTAACTTGACTTGCTTAATGAGTTAAACATCAAGCAGCATTTATGTTCAGTTGTTGTTTAAGTCTCATAGAGTAAACTTCAAAAGTGTTTAATAAAATAAAGAAGAGAAAAATGGAATTCAAAAAACATTTTCTAATCATTATTGTGGTGATTTTTATTTCTGAAATGACACACGCAGCATGTCATAACCGAAGAAAAGGCGATTCGGCAAGTGATATATTAGGTGACATTAAATGCGGAATTACCACTGTAAAGGAAACAATAAAAGATGGAGTGAAAGAAGGAGTGAAAGAAGTTAAAACAAAAATTGTGGACCACTCAGTTAAAACCTTCGATGCTATTGCTAAAGCTGTTACGAAGACCAAAGAAACTATTGATGACGGGCTAGATGTTGCTGTTCAAGCAGGCAAAAACAGTTTCAAATTAGTTCACGAAATCATAACAGGACGTAAAGTCTGGAAGCATCATGACAAACCAGAAATTGTTGACATCCATCTAGCAAGTGAAGAAGCAGAGTTTGAAAAGGATGAATTGCATGATTGGCATGATAAATTACATGAATATCATGAAAAGGATGAAACACATGAAAAGGACGAATCACATGAGAAACACGATCCAATCGAGAATGAAATTTTCTACATTGGAGAACCTAAGGAAGAACCAAAAGTCGACGTAATTTAAATGACTTTCATCAAAACTTGTTTTATTCTTAAATTTCTTTTTCTTTATCATTTAAAGCTTAATGAGTGAAAGCAAATAATTAAATTTTATTTTGTTGACAAATTCGAAAGTTGACAATTAGATACTTAAGTGCAATTTGCAATTATATTAATAATTTTAATGACTAATTGATGATGAAATGTTGAAAACGAGTTTTAGCAGTTAACTGTAAAATCTTTTCTGGAAAGCATAAACCCAAAAATAAAGTTAAATATTTATATTCGATAAACGAACAATCTTATTCAACAATCAAGATCGATTCAAAAATAATTCATTGTCACAGGAATTTTTACAAAAACAGATTGAAGTGAGTATGAGTCAGTCATCAATCAAATTGAAGTCAATTCCTGGAACGAATAAACAAAAAACTCCATTTTATTAGTTAGGAAATCCCCCAATTGAAACGAATTAACATTTTGCTACGTTTTTGTTTATTCCGTAAGAGAAATAAAAATGTATTCAAGGGTAAGAAGCTGTTCTTCTTCTTGTTCGGTTGTTTGAAACACGAGACAACTCAAAACAATTGTCACAACTATTAATTATATTTAAGTTTTTTTCTCTCATATGAATTAAAAGTCGTAAACAGGTTGTGAATATTTATAGTTATGAGTTAGTAATGTTTGTGTGTGATTTTTAAACACAGCAAATTTCTTCGATCTTAAGACTAGTTTTCAGTTGATGTTGAGTGTTGGTTGTGTGATGTGTCAAAATTTTTAACTTCTCGAAGATATGTTGAGGATTTTTTTACTTTTAGTGATAAGCGTGGCTGCAATTCATTGCGTAACTGCAGCAAACTATAATCTAGTGGTGAAGACTGATCATATTAAATTTCATGATGAAGTAGATCAAGCCGCTCTGACGTTTCGAGAGAAAATTCGTTTAGACTTAGAAAAATATAAGAAAATGAGAGAATGGGCTTTGAAGAATAACTCATCGAAGACAACTTCAACGACCGAAGAAACAAGTTCAACAACAGCAGAAACAACAACAAAAGCCATGAATACGTCGTCAACAACAAAAGAAGCTAGCAAAAACTCTAGTGGAGAAAAAATAGAAATGTCGACAAAGCCAGCCATGACAGCAGAATCATCAGCAAACAATACTTCGACAGAATCCAAAACATCCATGATGACTGATCTTGATAGTAAATCGATGACAACTGAGAAGAATAATAAAACACCGGAAATTGAAATTAAAGACAAAGGCAAAGACAAAACAGCAAATGTTACTGATAGTATAAAGCCGTTTAATGGAACGATTGATGATCGATTTATCGTAAACGCTCCAGTACTTTGTAAAGGAATTGTCGTGCGGGGAAAATGTCGAAAAATTGCTCGCTAAACTTTCATATTTAAATAATTGAGAATAAAATAAAATTAAAATGTTTGTTTCTTTTCTTTTTCAAACATTTACACGATCATTCAGAGAGTGAAATTTTAAGAACTGAGAATTTAAAACATTCTAAAATTATCAACACAATGAACAGTTCGTTTATACACTTTCAGCTTTGAAGTTCTTGTCCAAATCAATACAAAGTGATATGAAAAATTTGCTGCTGATATTAATTGGGATTGTTTTGATTCTTCAGTCGAAATGCTTAACTGATAACCCTGATTTAAATAAAGAAACACAGTTAAGAACGACAACTGGACCATCGGCAACTGAATTCATTGTTCAAGGTTGCATGATGTGCTTCCGAAACAACGAGAAATTATCAGAGTGTCCATCTGGCTTTAAAATGACCCACAGAGGCAAATGTAGAAAAATTATGAATTTTTAATTTGAGATAATGAGTGAGAGAGAAATGTACAAAAACAAAATTATGTTCACGTTTTAGCCAGAAGTTTCAAGCAGTTCTTATATAAAGTAAAAGTTGAAATTTCCAGAAATTTTGGATTTCCCAGGAAATCACATCGTAGGCGAAATTTCCAAAAACAATTTCATAATCTCTGTGTGGTCAGTAAAACGATTTCGCATTTCTTAATATGTTTTGTAAAGCTACAAGAAATTAAATTAATCAAGAATTAAAAAATTATTGCAAGCATTAATCGGAAGAATGAAGAACATCACATTTTATTTTATTTTATTGTTAATTCCATCAATGATTTCAATGGCTAAACTTTTGGGAGAAATTGGCACATCAACTCAAGAATCAAGAACTGAAGCAATCAATGGAAGTGATCCATCGCAAGCACTTTTCTTCATAAGCGTTACTTTAAATCCTTGCCAACAAAGTCATCATATCCCTGACCGACGTGGGAAATGTCGTAAAATCTTTATATGATATTGACAGTAAAACTTTTAATTTTACTTATCGAAAATAAATTGTAGGTTGAGCAATAAAAACAAAACATTTCATTGAAAAAATCTTTGAATTTTCCAAAGCATCACTTCACAAATTTACATAATCGGAATCTTTATTTATTTTTGTTTTACTTATCAAAACAAAAATTCATAACGAATTTCATCGAGATTTGATATTTAAAGAAAGAATCCGCTCACTTGAAAGTTCAGTGTTGTCAGAACATTGACGATCAACGTTTGAGGCTGCGTAAATCCAGAAATAAAGAAATAAAATGAAAGTGACAATTTTTCTTTTCATTCTTCTTGTCATCACAATTTCTTCTAATGGAAGTTTGATTGAAAGAATGAAAAGATCATTTGAAATTCGAGATTGTGTGGGAGAGAACGGAGATCGAAATTCGATCATCGAATTAATAGTGGAAATTGTAGAGAAATTTGTGAAAGCAGGTGAATTATAAACTTTAAAAACTGTTAAGTTAAGTAATTGCATGTAATCTCTTAGCATTCAAGTCAATGATACCGAATCTGAAGAGAATGTGACTACAGGAAACCCTTCAGATAATACTGATGATCCATTGCACATCCTGATCGCTCTTGATGTTCCTATTCCTTGTCCTAATGGTCATAGATCACTTCGAGGAAACTGCAAGAAACGAAAATATTAATTGCAATTATTTTGCATGATAAGTCTCTATGGTAAAGTTAATAAAACGATTTCGCATTTCTTAATTACTTTGTAAAGCAACAAGCAATTAAATTAAACAAGAATTTAAAAATAAACAAAACATTTCAATGAAACAATATTTCCATTTTCCAGAGCATCACTTCATGAGGACACTTAGAAAGTTAAACCTGTTGTAGACAACAAGACTCTGTGACAACTTAATACGAATTTAAATAATTGGAATCTTTACTTATTTTTGTTTTACTCATCGAAATAAAGATTCATAACGAATTTCATTGAGAGAAGATATTTAAAGAAAAAACCGCTCACTGAAAAGTTCAGTGTTGTCAGAACATTGATGATCAACGTTTGAGGCTGCGTAAATAATATAAATAAAGAAATAAAATGAAAGTGACAATTTTTCTTTTCATTCTTCTTGTTATCGCAATCTCCTCTAATGGAAGTTTGATTGAAAGAATGAAAAGATCATTTGAAATTCGAGATTGTTTTGGAGAGAACGGAGATCGAATTAAAAATCATGATAACTGTAGACAAATATGGGGAAGCAGGTAAATTTTAACCTTTAATAACTGGTAAGTTAAGTAATTGCATGTAATCTCTTAGCACTCAAGTCAATGATACCGAATCTGAAGAGAATGTAACTACAGAAAAGCCTTCAGATGATACTGACGATGACACTGAAGATGCACAACTAGAACTTGATACTCGTTTCGCTCTTGATGTTCCTATTCAATGTCCGACCGGTCATAGACTAGTTAGAGGAAACTGCAAGAAACGAAAATATTAATTGGAATTATTTTGCATGAGATTTTCTTTCTATTCCTACTTAACAACATAAAAAATATTAACAAATTTAATAAACATTAAGTTATTTACATTGTTATGAATTCCTTCAGAACATTCTTTAGTGACGACAGTTCAATGACGCAAAGAATCTCCGCGAATTCGGAATCAAATGAAAAGAAAAGCGTTCCGATTATGCTGAATGTTAATGCAGTACCATCATGTCCTAGTGGCTACAAGCTTAACAGACGTGGAACATGTAAACAGTTAATGATTTGGAACACATAGCCAGATGTAATCATTTGCAAAAATAAATTTATTAAAAACATTTTTGTAAAATATTCATTAATTAATATGGATAAATATAAAAATGAGAATTCTTGGAAGAATTGAAGTTTCTTAAAACTTTAAATTGCTTATTTTTAAAGAACTCAAGTACCGTTGATGGAAGTCCCCTTCATAAGTAAATTAGCATAATGTCGACATTTATCCTTCAACTTATTTAAGAAATACATTTAATGAGTAAAGAACAGGAAATGAGTTTTGGTTCAAGATTAAACAAGTGACACTGTGAGGTCAAACTGAGATCATTTATTTTCGCATCGCATAAAAATGAAAAGAAAAATAAAAACAAAACGCACTGAAGTGAGAGTAATCAATGTAGTGATTTATGAACTTAAAGATTCATTCAAATATTTATTAGCAGAGAACAAGTTTTAACCAATACTTGAGCACGATGAGTTGATGTTTGAGAATTACGAACACAAACATTGATTCAGACTCAGTTGGACTCTGGCGCTTGTGTTATTCAGTCAATGATGAGATTGTTGATGTTTAAAATTTACTTAATTTTGTTTACTGCGAGCGTGGTTCATGGGTTCATCGCAAATTCTCCGAACATCAGAACAAAGAGATCAGATGATGATAACGGATTTTCATTAGAAAATCTCAAAGACAAATTATCATTGGATAATCTCAAAGACAAATTATCATTGGATAATCTCAAAGACAGATATTCATCTCTTAAATCAAAAGTTTCAGATTATGCTACGAAAGGTTACGAAGAGTTGAAAAATCTTTTCTCTAGTGAAAGAAGTGTTGGCGATTACCAACTCAACAACATTGATGTTAGGTTTGGTGAAGGAGATGAGAAGAATATTAACACTAATAAAACTAATGCAAGGTCAACGCGCGATGTCAAAGACAAAAGTGTTGAAAGTTCTGAAGATTCACATGAATTGGATGAACTTATAGAAGCATTGATTGATTTTGAGAAACCGTCAGATGGTAAGAATCTTCACTACGATTTTCAAAGAAAAGCAGGAAATAATTAAATTAATTATTCAAATAGATAAGAAGAAAGAAGGCAAGAAGGATGGAAAACTTGAGAACAATGCTGAAATTTCTCCAGGATTGCCGATACAACATTCAGTGATCATCGCTCCTTTAATATGCACAGAAAATAAAAAAGCTGTTCGTGGCCGGTGTCGAAGCATAATATGAAAAAATATTTTAACTATTCTTGTGCCGTGTATGGTGTCATTTCTAAAATAAAAAATAATTATTAAGATTACCTGTTTTATGTGAAACTTATTGATCATCTCTGGATGAATTGGTGGAATATGAAAATTAATCAGTCCATAATGTGGAAGTTACGAAAATATCAATAAATATTAATGATAAATTCTAATCACATCATTATTGTTGGACGAATCCCAAAAATACTTTTACGTCTCCATATTTATTTCTTTTGTACGTCTTACCACCAATAAGAAATTTTTTTTAAAAAACGAACAACTCAACCGTCGCTTCTTTTTTTATAATCTTCAATCAGTTTATTAGTAACCGTGCCAGCTTCAACAACATTGGACGTAAAATTCAAACAAATATTTATACGAAAAATGAAAAAGTTAAATTTAGCAATTCTTTTCATTGTTATTTCAATTCACACTGTAAATGGATTCTTCTTCCCGAGATGCAGACAGACTGAAATTTCTTCAAAGAACAAGTTTAGACGTTTCATTCAACATGCAAATTGCACACTTTTTGAAGGGCATCGAATATTTTTAAGTGGACTAAACTGGTTTTCAATGAAAATTCAGCGAAAGTTTAATTATATAGAAACGATATTAGATCGTCATCAAAATACTTTGAGGCCTACAAATGTTATGAAAGTTACGACTTCAAAACCGACAACAGTGATAAGTGAGAAACCTGCAATAATTGAAGAAATTCCTGTGACAGAAAAAATGAAAACAACGACTGAAACATCCACAAAAATTAATCTTGAAATGGATGAAAAGCCTGTAACAATTGAAGAGATTCCAATAACAGAAAAACCTAAAACAACTACTAGACCCACCACAAGAATCAGTTTTGAAGTCAGTCAGAAACCGGACATGTCACAAGAAGTCATGAAGACTGAAAATCCTTCAATTAATGAGATAATTAGTGGAAATGAAAACTTTCCAGACGATGACGAACCCAACTATGAAGGTTTGGATCATCCAATTGACATTCGAATGCTTCCAGTCAACTATTATGAGCAATTTTTACACACACGATCAAAACGTGACGAAAACGAGGATGAAACTGAAAGTAACACTCAAGGTAATCAACATCAACAAAATAAAACAATATTGTGTTAAATAATGAGAATATTAAAACTCAGTAATTCATGACGCAATGTGACTAAGCATTTATGACATTCTAGCGGAATATTTCATTGCGTTTTGTCTTTGATTTATAGGAGAATCACCCTATGAATATAATTACAAATCAAGTGTTATTGTAAAATCTGATCAAGAGGTTATCAATGAATTTTTCTCATTCTAGAACCAATCGAGGATGACAATAATGGCGAGAATGAGGAAACAACTCTCGGAACATCAGCTTTTAATTTATTTTTCGCTCCCGTTAAATGTCGATATGGTTTTGTCTTAGTGGGGGGAAGATGTCGAAGAGTTGAGGAATGGAAGTAAATGTGCAGTGGAGAACTTTGAGTAAATCGTGTCAATAAATTATTTTCAGTCATTTCAAGTGCTAGTTTCAATTATTAAACTTCCTTTCAAGTGAGATGAAATTTCTTTTTAATTTAGTTCTAATAATGCTGTTGAGTTTAACAGTTTCGCGTGTTAAAAGTCAATATTTCCAATGTTTTTGGGTGTACGACATTCCCCAAACAACTCAAGAACCTCCTCAACAACATGAATTCGATGCGAATCTTGGATCAATTTTCGAAGCTCCACGAATTTGTCCCGAGGGTCAGAAGCTTATCAACGGAAAATGTAGAGAGATCCAACCTCAGTCGACCAATCAACATGATTTGTTTCATAATTATTTTTGAGCAAAAACTTTCAAACCCTCACACTTCTCGCGTCAAAAGGTTATCAAATTCGATTTTAAAAGCTTCATCTTCAACGAAGAATTTTTGAGAATTCAGTCGCGAATTTGGCTAACAGCGTTAAACATGGAAATTTTCAAAACCTTAATTATTTTTATATTTCTTTGTTCTATGAGTTTCGCTAATTTAATTTATCGCAAATACGAAAAGAAACATCCAAGAAAAAATTATGTTCAAATTGTTGAAATTTTCGGAACACGTCAAAGGCCGCCACATTACCTTGAAAGTGAAAAAGATTTGAATGATTTTTTGGCTCGTGATGCATATAAAACCGATATGAATTGTACAAAAATTAGTGAAGATAAAAGTGAAAGAGTTACAGAGGCACCAACTACGCGACCACCTTCAACAACTTTTCCTACAATCCCAACAACGGCTTATTGGTTAGCAGTCAAGCCAACACTTCCTGTTACTAGTCCTAGAACGACGTATCGCACGATTCGCCCAAATCTCAACAATATGTTCACTATTCGAACTACAAAGCCTACGATTAGGCCAAATCCACGAGAGAACAGCAATCCCGATTACACCGACTTAGGGCATGAAATGGAGCCAAACGTTCAAATGACAAAGCATCGTTACAGCACCGTTCCACCAACCATAGTTATCGTTGAAACAGACGATATTCCATTGACTGAAAGAACATCGCTCTTTGATATTGATAAGGAACGAACAACAACAAGAAAATCTTATTCGGGAGAGTTTTCAGATGATGAAATAATTTATCCCGATGTGGAGGAAATCGAGGAAAATGATGCTGAATACGATGAAAATAATTATCCAGAAGTAATTCCTTCAGATCAAATTGAACCACTACGTGATAATTATGATGATGAAGTTGATGAAGGTTATGAAGATTATGACGAACAAAATGTAGACCTTGGAAGAAGACGAAAACGTCACAAGAGAAAGTTAGTCACGTCGATAAACAAACGAAAAAATACAACAAAAAATTAATCAATTTGAAATAAACTGAAAAAATTCACACAAACACAATCTTTTTTTGGAAACAAATAATTGATAATGTGGGAATAATTCGTAAGAATTGTCACAAGATAGATTATAAAATTTTTTAAAAATGTTGAAGTTTTCTAATCAGGTGAAAACAATTTATTAATAAATTGAGACGTTCTTGAAACTTGTTTCCTTCTATTTTTAACAACATTTTGTGTTCCTCATAGATCGTCAAACATTTAGTTAGTTTTTAATTGTATCGAGAAGCGCAATAAAATATTTTTAGAACACTAAAAAATGAAATCAAGGCAAATAGCCATTTGTGTTATCATAATTGTGCTTTTAATAGCTGATAGTGATGAACTGAAAGTTATCTTTGCGAGGAACAGCACAGCACATGCATTAAGACAAGCGCAAAAGGTTGAAATTGAGCGGGAAAAAGCGAACGAAGACGTGATTAACACAGGAACAATCATCAATGCGCCTAATAACTGCAAGCCTGGATTCATCTACGAGCCAACATTCCACAAACGTTGTCGAAAAGTTTCAGTTTAAGAAAATGAAAAACCCTTTTCCGTATCATTCCACAGCTGCATAAATAGTTAAGTGACGATGGAATTTCTATCACGAAACATTGTCGTTTGATACAAAATAATTAAGTCTTAACAATGTGCATTGTCAAATCTGCTTAAGAAATTTTCCACTCCGACATTTTCTGAAGAAAAAAACATTAAAAATATTTCGATAAAAAATTTCTTACAAGATTTTTATTTCAACTCGATGTTTAACAAAAAAAAAGTTGTTGCGTCATGGTTTTCGAGCGTTCAGTTATGAAAAGTCAATGAATGAGTCGCATTTCAGTGATTCACTTTTCTTATCTTCACGCTCACGTTAATTTATTTATTTCGCTCTTCGTAGCGAACTCTCAAGTGAGACTCGGCTGATAACAGAAAATTCCCCTTTCGCTTTTATGTTGTCTACGAAGGTTTTTCGATGTAATAAAAAACAACAGAAAGAGCAAATCAGTCGTCAAATGAAATCGTAAAACCATAGACGTTCGTCTATGAAAATAGAAATAAGATAAAAACAAATCCGTGAATAATGTCGATTGCAAAAGATAATTTTAAAGGTCGAACTTTAATTTACGCGCTGATTTCGGTTCTGCTTTTCAACATGTTATTCGCTGAAGTCAGCGGAAAACTTTTATTCTGTAAAAGTTGCAAATTAAATCGGAACACTTCAGTCGAAACTTCAACTTCAATCCAAACAGAAACAGCAAATATCATCAATGCACCCACAAAGTGTAAAGCTGGCTATGGCCCTGACAGACGTGGAAATTGCAGAAAACTTTACAGCAGTTAGGAACACGCCATGTGAGATTGAAAACTTTTCCTTTTCTCCTTCTTAAATTAAAGCTTAGTCGTTTTAGATTGCGTGGAAAATTCATCGAGGATTTACACCATTTGTTACACTTAAAAAAAGCTTTATCACCTTAAAATGTAAATATTTCGTAGCAAACGCGTCATTTTCATAAACACGCGTTGATAAAATTAGTTTGTATTTAGTCTTACATTCACCAAAAATGATATCAAGAGATTACCAAAAGCTGTACGGTGGTGTATAAAACAGAAATTTACAAGATAAGATTCGCACATGGTGCGCTACTAAACTACTAAGGAATCTATCTAATCATTTTATATGCAAAAATATTGGGCGGTATTAAAAGAACGACGGTTATTAATAATACATTAGATTAAACAAGTGTTATCAAGTTTTTGGGAAAGACTACGACAAATCGATAAGTCAATTGAAGGCTGTTGATAAGCTTCAACAGATAACGCGGTAAAATGCGTTAATTTTTAATTAAAACCTCATATCTTCATAACTTGTTTGATAGTCTTGTTGTCTTCTTGATCGTCTTCCCTAGAGGTTTCTAAGAAAAGAAAATATGAAAAGTTTACAAGTTCTGGTAATTCTTGTTGGATTCTTCGTTTTTGCTGCTGTTTCCACAAAAGTTATTTACTTCAATCATAAAAAAGCAGGAGAAGTCTTTAAGAAAGGCGGAATAATCTTCGTTCCGAATGGAAAACCACGCTGTGGAGTCGCTAAAGTACCTGACGAACATGGCAATTGCCGTAAAATTGTCAGGTTTTGATCAGAACAAAATTTATTGAAAATCATTTAAGTCATGATGGAAAAGAAAATAATTAAAAAAGTTTCAACGAAAAATGTCGACGGAAAAAAACGGAAACATTAGTCAATCAGCAAACACAATAAAACGTTGATGGTGTCGTCGAGAAGTGCTTCAACAAAAACGTTTTTAGTATTTCACAGTGTTGATTTATGTAACCGAGAGTGGTCATATTTTAATATCCTGTTTTTGTTATCACAATTTTTACTGACATGAACGACAAAACTCATGCATTTAAAATTTAGTTTCAGCGTCTGCTTGCAGTGTAACAGCTTGTAGTGAATTAGATTTAAGTTTGAAATAAATTTTGTATTTGAAAATCGAACTTTTAGTTTAAGGAACAAACTCAAAAAAAATTCTTTCGCTCTTTTAAACATCACCGCTGATGGTCTGATTGCTTTTAAAGAAGGAAAATCTCCATTTAAAGTTCAATTAAATTCAAAATAAAACAGCAAAATATCATCTACAAATTTCAAAGTAAAACATTTTTTTATCGCAAAGCATAAATGAAACAATAAAAAGTTGAATGAAAAAGTTTTTCATAACATTACATTTTCAACTTCAGGTTTTTAGATGTTAGAAATATAAGACGGAGCAGGTGACACATGTCGGAATATTTTTGCACACTTCCCTTAGCTTGAGAGAAGTTTCATTTACGGTCGACACTGTGACTATTAAAAAGTTATTGTTGTGGGTGGTGTTTATTAGCATGGCTATCATTGCATATCATGCAATGCTATTTCGGGTGATGGAGAATTTGCTTCGAAGGAAACTAGAAAACTTTTTTCATTATACTGAGTTGAAAGCACACCGAGTTGGATAAACAGGAGTCACAAATACATAATTCATACGCAAGTAAATAATGGTGCACGACATGCTGTTTATTAATGAAACCGTCCATCGTTTTTCATAATATTTGCATGCAGCACTGCACTGCAATTCGTTTCAATTCTCGAGAATGCTATGAATGTTTCGCTGTTTGATAAATTTCACAACAATAGAATAGAATTCTTCTTTGTTCCTTTTATTGTTCTCTGACAAAGTCCATTTACAGGTTCTTTTTTTGAATTTTCGTGGCAGGCGGATAGACGACATAAGTTCCATAGACAGAGACACTGCACTTTATTTATTTCCCTTCTTTCTTGTTGAATTAGCAGAAACTTTTTTCTCTCTCTTACTGTCTTCAATGGGATTTAGCTTTTATGCAAACAGATAAAAATAGCTAAAAGATTCAGTGTCGACACAATAGAATTTCTGAATGCTTTGATAACAAATGTGGGGTGGGTGAGTGACGAAAAATAAAGGAAAAGATAAAAAGAAAGTTGAGTTGCAATGTCGCCTCAAAATGACAAGTAAAAACAATAAAACGTGAAGAAATGTGGACAGAAATTTCATGAGGCTGATGAGGTTTGATGAAAAGATGAAAAGAAACAACAATACTTAGAAGATTTTCATCTGATCAACACTTAAAGATATTAAAGGCGACAAGCCGTTTTCGGCTGACTTTAATGTCAATTGAGACACTTTTTCTTTTCCCATTTTCTAAATCGAACAAACATCAAATACAAAACGTGAAAGTAATCATTTTAATTTATTTTCATGGAACGGGGAAACGTAACAAACATTCGTAGAGTAAAAAGAATCTTGATTGGAAATCGGCACATTTATGGTTGTGATAGCCGAGATCGAGGGATGGAAAGAAAACACAAAATCATTATCTTTTAAAATGTGTCCCTTGGTGAACGTTTCTTTCGTGACGAAGCTGAAGAAAAGGAAAGTAAAGGTGTTTCTTCAATGGAAGAAACGACGAAAGGAAGCATCCAACATCAATCGTTCATTGTAAAAAAATTTCATTGTTTAGATCGTGTTTTTATTGCGCGAGATGATGGAGATGAATCTCATCGTTTCTAAAATTCTTTTGTGTGCGGAAGGAAAATCGTTCAACTTTGTTTAAGATAAATTTCTTTCTTAACCTTTCCTTTTCATTGTCGACCTTAAAGAATCTGTTTCTCTAAGTGGAAGTACCTAAGACGCTTTTGAAATAAAAAAAAATCTTCTTCACAGTCTAAAGCGAATAAATCACAATTCTTCTACTCACGGGGGGTCGACAGAAAATTGAGTTATTTTGTCTCGTCGAGTTTTTAATCAAAATGTAGCAGAGAAAACTGTAAAGAAGTATTTCAACAAAAGAAAAACTAGCACGTGATGCCTTCGAGGCATTTTCTTCCTCAACGTGATGCGTGAATGAAATTGAATGCTAAAAGAAAACAATTCTAGTCAGAGTGCTTAAGATGAAGTTCTTTAACCTTTTTTTCATTGAAATAAAATATAAAAAAAATTTACTTCACAACATTGGAAATCTTAAAAATTTCTATTTCCTGAAGTTATTGAATCTTATCTTTCTTTTCTTCCACTTGTTTGAATGCTGATATTTACTAGTAACGTACTTAGTTATAATAAGCTTAACTATTCAGTATCAATATTTTCTCGGAAAGAGCTTATCTAATCTTTTCGCGAGCCTCAACTAAATAAGTAGCTTTTCGTGGACGATGGTAATTCAGTTTTCAACTTGTGTTTAAACTTTAAAGTTTAAACTTCATAATTAGTAACAGTTAATAGAAAAAATTCTAAATTCATTCTCAGTGAAGTGGAAAGTTTGAAAAGATAAATAAAATATGGTAATTAAATTGTTACAAATCCAAACAGAAGATCAAATTCTTAAATATCTATTTATGTATATTAGAAACAAAAATAGAAACATAAGAAGTTTTTACACAAAAGAACTGTCATTAATCGGTTTGGATTTGATAACTTGGATTGATTTATGACCGCTACGCACTTTTATCGCTCGCGATTTTTTGATAAAGCTATGGTGAAATAGAGAAAACTTTATAGCAATTAAAAAGCTAATGACAAAAGTTTGATAAAAGCTTTCGTGTGATTATTATAGCAAAAGAAATGTTTAAGTATTAGTAATTTGATAAGTCACCTGCAGTTCCTTTTCTATTTTGAATTACAAAAATAATATTGAAATGGTGGATGAGAATAAAAAATTAAACCTGTTAACTCATTTGGTAACTAAGCATTTTTAATTCGAATAAAAATATTTACTTTTTACGCTTCCAGTGCATTTTTTAACAAATGTTGACAAGAAAATGTTATTCAGAAAAGTCTCGAAATTTCATTTTTGTAAGCACTCTTATGATGTTATAAAATTCGTTGTGTAGTGACTCAGAATGACGATGTACGATGAAAGCATCTAAGTAAAAACATTTACATCTCCAAATTGGCTCGTAAATTCATAATTTAATTGTCGCTGTCGTTCCATGTGCTGCTTGTAAACATCCCAAAGCGGAAAATCATTGCAAGCGAATTAAAGAGACGCGTAATGTGCGAGAAAATCTAAAGCTCAAAATAGTACCATGGGACCATCTGTTAGGATTTCCAAGCTTCAACAACCGAAATTAATATAAAATACAAATCATGTTAGATCACTTTTTGTGGGCTTTACGAGAAAAAAAAGCAATAATAAAAACATCAAATCGAGAGGAGAGTAAAAGAGAGAAAGTTTCTATGTGGTGTTGAGAAAAGCGAATTTGTCATCGTAACTTTTCATCAAATCCTCGCCACCTTAAACGTGTAATGGGTTCACTTGCCCCAAAAATTGTAGTTTATTGTTCTTGCGTTCAGAAAATTTATCTTGATTGTCATTTATCTTCTGCATTTATTGTGTTAATTTTCACAACATTTCGCAAGGTTTTTCATAACTCGATGATGAAACTTAAAGGAGCAATATTTTCATGGTAGACAAAATCATTGCAATGTACCTTCATTAAACTATTAGGGTTGATCTTGGCACTTTTTAATGTTCTCTGTTGCTAACCTATCTATTTGCTTCTTTTTGAACATTGGAGTAATTAAAAGTAAATGAAATATCAAAATCTACAAAAGTAAATGATTACGTAGACATGTTTCAATAAATAATTACACCATTCTTGTTGCTGTTGCTGAATTTATTGGACTGATAAGTGAGCCGATACAATCAATGGCTGCTTCAATTTTTTTAAAGGGTGATTTCTGAAAATTTAGAGAATATATATAATCTTTATCTTATCTAAAACACGCACTTATTACATTTTAGTGTTCTGCGAATTATAAAGTGAGATCATTTTAAATTGACAGGAAATTAAATGAAACTCTAATTTTTTATTGTGATAATTACAATTTGTTTTTATTTTGCACTCATTGTTTGTAATGGATAAAAAAGTTTTTAATTTTTAAGTTTTTAATATCATCTTAATTCCATTTCAATTGAAGCAAATGATTACAAATGCTATTTATAAAACCTACACCATAAGTATTTCTGCTTGCATACATTTTTCAAAAAAAAATATCTGCTTCCCTAAGTGGTCATCTGAATAGTCATAAACATTTTATATTTATTCATCCTGATGATTTTTCTCTGTTCTTCCGTTACAATATATGTCAGTTATAAAGAATATGGATATGTTTTGAAAACCACCACGTTTAAGTAAAATTATTTATGATTAAATATAGGAATATTGATATAGATTATTATTATTACATAGATGTAAGATAGATTTGTGCACGCAATTGAGAAAAAAAGTACTGACAGAAAATGCTTTTGAGAGAGTTTAA